AAACAGTTTGTTTAGAGAATATTTATAAAAACAAGAATTATAGAAAGAAGGATTATTTACAAAAAGTTGAGTGAACTTTTGAGTTTGAGTTATAAGTAAAATACCACGAACAAGTCAGCTTTATATTTTTTTATTTTATTCTGTTTAAGATTCTCCCTAGAAAATGAATTCGCAAATCCCAGTTTCGAATAGAGCACCCAAAAAAACATACAGAATAGAAGAAATCATAACTATCCCAAAACTTTCGTGCTAAGGTTTTTTGAGCATAATAAGTCTAGACTATAGTAGTGTTTCTAATGTTTAGTCAGATATTTTCCCTATATGGTGTGGTAATATTTTAATGTGAATAAAATTGATAGTACCGATTTACTATTTGTTTAGATTAGTGTTTTTAAATATTTTAGTATATATCTGTCACAGCGCCCCTAGCACCAGGCGCCCCGGGCGGCCGCCCGGGTCTCCCGGCCATTCCGCCGGCCCTGGTGCTAATTAACATTGAATAAGGAAAATCGGGCCAATTGAAAGATTCAAATAAATAATATCCACGTGAGCAATTTAAAGATATTATTTTTAACTTTTTAGCCGACCATACCAACAGGTATGGTAGGCCATTAAGATTGGCCAAAAAAATAATTAATTTCACTCGAAATGAGTTATTTGGGTCATAAATGACCTAAATACAAAATATTTTCATGGTGTGTGTCCGTTTGTCCGTCTGTCTGTAACACGATAACTCAAAAACCGCTAAACCGATTTTAACCAAATTTGGCACAAAAATACTGTGGCACCCGAGAATCTGGCCATTAGTTTTTGGTGGGGGTGGGGGGTTGGTAAGGGGGTATGGGAGGGGGTTAAAAATTTAAAAAAAATCGTAATTCCAAAATTACAGTAGCTAGTGAAACGCGGTTTTCAACTTAAGATTAGGAATAATATTTGCAACAAAATTTGTAATAACATCAAAATCAGAGTCGCAGTTTTTGAGATATTCTGTGTTTCCGTAGTCGTTCGTTTCCGTGTTGAGAACTCCAAACTCCCATCGGACGCGACCCCAGGTGGCGGATAGGGGAAATAACCGCAGACCAAAATTGGAAAAATTCCTTTACTTTGAAACTAAAAGAACTGCATACCAACTTTTTATTAACATATCACATAACGTATGGGCGGCTGCGGCTATACGTGCCTCCCGTGTACGATCTAATAACATGCATAATATTAATCGTAGTTATTATAAATAAATCAACTTCTACAAACCATTATCTAATGCTCTACATGTTCGAAAGGGTTACCACCCTCCCTATTGCACAAATTTATTTCTCGTTCAATTTTATTTAAAATTCTTTGAACATATCTTCTTCTTGTATTTCTGAATGCATTTTGTACTCTTTATTGTAAATGTTGAAATGTGATTCCACTTTTACAAATGACGTTGCAAAGTAATGCAATCTTGAAATTCCTTTCATAGGCACAGATGCCAGTAGATGTACTTTCAGTGATTCTTGAATGATTAAGCTTGATTTTCATGCATCCGTTATACGTTGATACGATGCACAGTGCTTCGTCCCATGGACAAAAATAAAAAAATAAGTTAAAATTTACTAATATCTAAATATATAATTTTATACTTATAGCAATGTTCAACCATCCTGTATATTATTTTTCATAAACAGCGTTTTTGTTAGCAAATATTTTCACTAAAAATAAATTTTGCGATCATTATCTCATCAGTGAAAAGAATAACATTCATAGTAGTTCTGTATATTATGGAGTTAAACGGGTACGTACTTAATTGAAAGCCACTATGGATATTGTTAAACAAGGTATGTACTTTAAATTTATTTCTAAACAAGTTCGTGATTGTTTAGTTTTTATTTATTTTTTAAGATGATTCTTAAATGGGTATAAAAATTTTTAAGTTTTCAAACTTCAAAAAGATATTTAAAAAAAAACATATCAAAACATATCGTATTTATTGAATATTTTTGTTGCCATATTCATACACTTTTAATTTTTGTATAGTTCACCTGCGTCTGCTTGCGACGAACTTTATTTTATAATACTTTCCAGATGGAGTAAAATTGATAAGCAATGCCGATCTGGCTAATACTTGGCTTGATCATAAGGACAAGAACTCAAAATTATTTGTATTTCAAAAAATATGTTCTTATTAGATATTGATGAACCTTCCAGTCAAATGAGGCACCACTTGTGACTGAAAAAGTCCACTATGTTGGAGCGAAACGTCGCATAAAAAAAGTGTCCACCTTTCAATTTATTATAAAATCTCATACCCAAGAAAAGGAAAAAATAATATATGGACATGGTCTATTAAAGAGGTAACTATTAACATCCGAACCCCTCATACCGACAAAATGAACAGTAACAACGCGAAAAAGTAACATATTAGAAAATGATGTACAGAAATATCTTATATGTGAGGATACTTCATCTACCTGTGATTTGGATACTATAAATTTGGAAGATTCTGTCAGCAGTGATTCTCCTGAATCAGAGTAGTTACGGTCTATGCATTTTGTTGTCCTAAAGTAAATTTATAGTATCTTAAGTTTTTTTTAATTAAATATAACATTAATGTTTCTTTTTCATTAAAGAAAAACATTTTTATCTTATATTAGGCTTATATTGTAGGAATCATGTTCTAATGTTATTTCAATTCTTTTTTATCACAGGAATTTATTTAATACTTACACCGTTTTCATACTATAACTTATTATTTGCTTAGATGGAACACAGCTCCAACATTATTATTATTTATAATTTTTTTTTTCATAAACGTGGGACTAAGAACATCATTATTTAGTACAATGAGAGTACTCATTATTTGTGTCAAATAAACCTAGTTTGAATAAATTGCTTACAATAGAAGAGAAGTTTTGGATTTTTGTCCTCTAGAGCCATATGTTCGAAGCACTGTGCGATGGTCCGACGGTGCTCTGATTGGTCATAGCGTTTTCGCGCAACTTCTCATCCGTAAATATTTTACTTCAGCCCGCCAACGGACCCGTGCATACGATAACGAACACTTTTTTGACAAATTTAATCTAACCTTAATAAAAATAAAATATAATAATATATATATATATAAAAGTAAAATAGCAAAATCGTTTGGAAACGAAAATATAAAATACATACATACATATACATACAGCTGTTACTCGCTGACGAGTATTCAACACACATAAAGAAAATGGTCACGCAAGGCGTTTTCTTTCATGAGCTTTTCTGTGACTGAAAAGCCCGATACGTGATGTTATCTGCCTACCGCACTCCGGACATTCAAAAATCTCATTGCTTTGTTGTCTCTTTACTTTTTGGTTGCCGCTGTTAACTGAGTTACTTCTCCATTGAGTTCTATTATGAGCTGCTTTTTCCCACTCATTCTGCATGTTAATTCTCTTTAAATTTTTGTGGAAAATGTCCTTGTATCTTTTCAGTTGTCCACCCTTTTACCATCTACAAGCTCACCGTAAAGCAGAGATTTTGGTATGCGGTTTTCTTGCATTCTGCATACGTGACCAGCCCATCTTAAGCGGGATTTTGTGACCATGACTCCAATACTCTCGCAGTTAGATTTTTCAAGGACCGATACGTTTGAGACATGATGGAACCACCGGACTCTTAAGAGTTGTCTAAGGTGTCTCTGTTGCAACTTGTTCAATGCGTTCATGTGTCGGCGGTAAGGCACCCAGGTTTCGCTCCCATATATCATGGTGGGGATTATAATTGCTCGGTATACTGCAAGTTTTGTTTTTGTACTCAAGTCATGATTGTAGAAAACCCTGTCTTTTAATTTCCAGAATGCTCTTGAGGCGCTACTAATCCTGTGCTGAATTTCAGAGTCAATATTGGCCTTTTCCGAAATCAAACTGCCAAGGTAATTGAATTCCGCCACATATTCGAATAGTTCTTCTCCGATTTTTATAGCATTGTTGTGATCTTCCGGGGGAGTGCACATGATTTTAGTTTTGCCGATGTTCAGCTTAAGGCCCAAAGCCTCGTATGCCCAGGTATATGTGTTCAACATTTCTTGTAATTGTTGTACCGTGTTTGCAACTAGAGCGCAGTCGTCAGCGTATTGAAGTTCTGTGATAAATTTTGTACGTGTTTTTGCCCTGAGTCTTTTTATGTTGAACAGACCGCCGTCATATCTGTATCTAATGTCCAATCCTCTCTCCTGCAGTTTGCTGTCCACTATAATGGAGAGCGCTGCCATGAATATGTTGAATAGGAGAGGCGCTAAGACACATCCCTGCCTAACTCCTGTATTTGTTAGGAATGGGTCGCTCAGTGATCCATGATGTGACACTCTTGACTTGTTGTTGTTATGGAGGCTTTTACACACTGTAAGAAATTTGTTGGGTACACCGAACTTTTCCATAATTGCCCAAAGCGCATCTCTGTTCACAGAGTCGAAGGCTTTGTTAGATCGATGAATGCAACATAAAGTTTAGACTGCTGCTCTTTTACTTTTTCCTGTAGTTGACGGATGGAAAATATGGAATCGACGGTGCCGCGGTTGGTACGAAAACCCGTTTGCGATTCTGGAAGAATTTTTTCTATATGTGGGTGCAGGCGGTTTGACATTATTTTTGCAAGAATTTTTCCGCCGATAGCCAATAGCGAAATTCCCCGGTAATTTCCGCAGTCTGATGCACTTCCTGAAAATATAAAATAACACCAACGAACAAATCCGATTAACGGAGGCATGAAAATGCAATAAATTTAAAAACTGCGTTATTTTCTAACCAATCAAAGTCTTTAAATTCTACCAATAAAGTTAATATCGTATCAACGTATCGTCGGACAACGGATGCATGAAAATCAAGCTTTATACCTTCAAAATAAAACGTGAAAAAAGTTTAATACTGCAAGACTGTTAATAAACACTAGTTAATAAATAATTTTATGCAACAACGAAGAAACTTATTATCAATCCAAAGAAAGCGCAGCGATTTTAATGCAAATTAATATATTTTTTCTAGGAAAAGAAGCGATTAGAGAAGCTTCCGCTCAAGGCGCCAAGGCCGTGCAAAAGATGAACGCTCAGAAGGTGTACGTGGAAAGTTTCGGACATGCCGAATCCGCGGCGGAGGGATCCGCCCTCGGCGTGTGGCTGTACCAGGAGAAGAAGATGAAGAAGAATCAAATGTTCATTCCCCAATTGGAGCTGTACGACGACTGCGACTGGACCGGCTGGCAAATCGGATTGCAGAAAGCCGCAGCTCAGAACTTGGCCAGACAATTGATGGACACTCCGGCTAACTTGATGACGCCCACTTCTTTCGCTCAGAATGCTGTGGAAGTAAGAAAGTTTATGCTTATTATACTTTCTGATACTTTTTGAAGTGAAACTTTTTTACGCGCGCTGGGAGCAGAAAGTCAAGGCAATATCCACATACACTATCGGACAAAAGTAGAGCAACACTTCGAGAAATATTATTTGCAAATCGCGAATTTTCAATTATACATGCATGATAATGTATACAAATACAATAAATTTAAAAACTACGAAGTAGGCTATGAGTATCCATGACAGCAAGAATTTTTACTAACAAAACAAATGAATTTATTTTGACATTTAGTTTTAAATGCTTAATAGTAACGCGTCAAAAGTAGAGCAACATAATTATGTAATTCCAAAGAAGCCAAAATATTTGTTTATTTTATGTTTTTTTTAAACATTTCTGTGCTGGATTAGTCATGCCAAGAGGAATTCTAATTTCAAAAGACTTGAAGCAAAGAGTTGTGAATGCATTCATGGATGGTAACAAACAAGCCGATATTTCAAGATAGTTTGTGTTACCCCGGTACAGTGTATCTAAAATAATTTCATCGTATAATGACAGGGGACACTTAGAAAAGCTGCCAAAATCGGGAAGGCCAAAGAAAACAACAGTAATGACCGACAGGTGCATCAAAATGAGCCTTGGAAGTCCGCACCTAGAATTATTGCCGAAATTCCAGAAATTACGGTTGGTATACGAACAGTAGAAAGAAGATTAGTAGATGCAAAGTTATTTAGTAGACGTCCACTAAAAATCCGTTAGTTTCGGAAAGAAATAGAGCAGCAAGGTTGGCATTGGCAGGTCAGTATCATAGATAAAAGACTTATACTATTAAATAGATAGGCAACTTATAATACATTTCAATTTTATTATACAAGGGCGCCTCTGGTAGATGGAGGAAGAAATACTAATGGAAGAGAGGGGTGCGGGGAAGGGAGGTTGTTTTAGTTAATTTAAAATAAATTTAGACATACATGTAAGAACACTTTGTGTGCTTTTAATTAGGTCGAACATATTATAAACGATAAATCAACTGAATTAAAAGCATACAAAGTGTTCTTATATGTCGGATATTAATTAAAAAATATATTAAAAAGACTAGAAATAGTATATATTAAGTTGTTACAGTTATAATTTAATCTTTGGCGGTTTTCAGCAAATAGCAGGCAATTTTACATAATTTTCCTCCCTTTGAAGTGAATTGGAAACGGCTATATAATTTTGGTGTAGGCAAGATTCCCAGTTTGTTTCCGTTTGAGACCTGAAATAATAAAAACAAATTAAATTAGATGTAATCATCTGCTGATCATGCTAATATAACACAACGCGCGTCCTTAATTCCTTACATGCACCGTAATAAAATTAAATAACTGCTCAGCAGGTGGCATTTATTAGCAGTACTAATTTAAAAAATCTATAACTGTAAGTAGATATGTTTAATTTACTTACCATTGGATCCTTCGGAAACCAGGTGTACAACAATTAAACTCCATGATAAAAAATAATTAAGAGTCTATACAAAACACAAATTGTCCCACCATTTTTAAAAAACATTGTCTAAAACAGAATACTGGCAAAAACTCTGAAGGAATTTAATTTTACAATAAATCGACAAATCAAAACGAAATCAAACCGTAAAATCACAACAAAAGCGTCTCTGAGTGACAGTTAAAAATCAAATTTTATTATTGTCAGATATTGACATTTGCATTGTTAATATTGACAGTTTTAATATTTTGCGCCTCTGCATCTTGGAGGAACAACTATTTTTAATGAACCGTCATTTCCATTTAAGTTTCTCAGACATGGTCAGTATTTAAACTGGACCGTCAATGAGTGGAAAAAAGTTCTGTTCAGTGATGAAACGCGCTACAAAATATTCAATTCTGATGGAATGAGACGTGTGAGGCGACCAATCAATACAAGGTTTAATCCTAAATACGTAACACCTACCATTAAAGACGGTAAATGCAGTGTATTTTTATGGGGTTGTTCCTCATGGAATGGGATAGGCCCTATACACTTTATTAATGACAGGATGGACCGATTTGTTTATAGGGATATCATCCAGAATGTTATTCTTCCTTATGCAGAATGGGAAATGCCACTGCGTTTTATTTTCCAACAAGACAACGATCCAAAACACTCTTCATAAGTTGTTCAACAGTGGTTTCTTCAAATGGCCAGCACAATTCCCAGACCTTAAACCCATTGAAAATCTCTGGGAAGAAGTAGAACGTCGTATTCGTACCCAAATGTTTCCAAATAAACAATCCTTGATAGATAAAATTAATTGAAGTTCCTGAAAATGTCATTCAGAAGTTGATTGCTTCAATGCCGAGCCGTTGTCAGCAAGTTATTAATAATAATGGATATTCTATCAATTACTAATGTATTACTTTCAATTATTATTGTTCTTAAACGTGTTAAATATTTTTTGTTGAAATAAGACACAATAAAATTTGTTGAATACAATTTGTTGCTCTACTTTTGTCGCCCCCATTCTCATCAATTTTTATAATCATTATTATTTATAATAATAGCTCCCGTATATAGCATTTAACGCCTTGGGAGTAGCAAGGTACAGCTTGCTATACTAGAGCCGTTCGGTATACAAGGAAGGTAATGTGGCTAGCACTACGCTTCAACCGCCTATTATTACCTCAGGATTGTGAATCCCAAGTACTCATTTAAGGCTGAGTCGACCTAGGTACCCAAACTATTTTTATTTTAATAAAAATAGTCGGCTGATGAAATGCCGGGTGTGGGAATCGAACCCACACCTTGAGATTGGTAGACGAGAGCCTGTACCTCAGCGCCACCGGGCACCTATCATTATTATTTACCATTCTTAAACTGATTAAAAGTACATCAATTTTGTAAACTATTACTTTTAGTGTAAGGATAGTGTGTTAGTAAACATAGCCGAAAATCACAACCTAATAATTTTTTTTATTCAAACATGAATAAAAATGAACTTTGTTGCTCTACTTTTGTCCGATAGTGTACAATGTTGTGTTTTGATTAATATGAATTAATAACTTAGGTGTTGTGTAAATCTGGTGTCAACGTTGAAGTAAAAGTTCGTGGTTGGGCCGAAACTCAGAAGATGTACGCTTTCCTGGCCGTGGCGCAAGGTTCCTGTGAACCCCCCATATTCCTGGAACTCAGTTACTATGGGGCATCCAGAGACGAACGTCCTGTGGTATGTCTATAACATTAACTTTAAAATAATTGTAATGCTTCGTTAGGAGGTCGTTTTCGAGCGACTAACATCTAAAATACGGATATTTTTCAGGTATTAGTCGGTAAAGGTATTACCTACAATAGTGGCGGACTCTGTATTAAACCCAGCAACAAGCAAAGGTTCATGAGAGGCGACATGGGGGGAGCCGCGTGCGTTGTCGCTGCATGTCGCGCCGTTGCCGGTTTGCAGCTGCCCATCAACGTGCGCGCGCTGGTAAGTGATGCGTTAATGCCCACTTGCACCGTCTGTATAATCTTTGTTTAAAGGCTAAACAATGATTAACTATAATAAAATATTATACAGTTAATCACTGTTTAGCCTTTAAACGAAGTTTATACAAACGGTGCAAGTGGGCATAAATCGTCTTTATTGAAAAATGTCGCGTCGTGTTACATAGATACTTAGGAACAACACAACATTTTGGTTTGTATTTTTGTTCTTTGCAGATTCCTCTTTGTGAAAATATGCCCGGTTGCGCTGCCATGAGACCTGGAGATATCGTTAAGGCTATGAATGGTAAAAGCATCAAGATTGAATCTACAGACACCGCTGGTCGGTTGTGTCTGGCGGATGCCCTTGTCTACGCTCAGAACTTTTGGCCCAGGTAATGCAAAGTGCAGAAATAATTAAGCTTAATGAAAAAAAGTATTTAAAAAATTTACATTATTGACTTCTTAGAATATTGAATACATTTTTGTGTTTTATATCATACATATTTCTTTATTTTCCTCTTCTTTTTCTCTCACCAATTTCCCTCATCTATATTTGTCTTTGTGTCAGTTGTGGTTGTAAATAAAATAGTATACAAACGTCAAAGGAAAATTCTCATTATTGTCTCGACATTTTGTTAATCTCTCGACATTGTACTACTTTAGTAGGCTCATAATACATTAAGTTTCACTCTAATGAAATTTTTGTTTTTGTGAGCTTTGTTAATACAATCAAATTATACAGAATCATTATGTTTTTAAATTATATCAATAATAAAATTATTTATTTTTAAATTCAAATTTGGATAAGAACATTCATATCGTAAAGTGATAAATTATGCGCAATATGCAATGTGTTTCAAATTATGCATATAGGTTTCAAAGTTTGAAACATCTTGTAGAATAGAAAAATAAAGTGTATTGAATGTTCAGCCATTGTTCACCGCTACGTCATATATTATCGAATTCTCTCAATCACTTGATAATCAGATGAAATAGATTGGTGACGTTATTACGGCATTTCGTAAATTATTATTGCGTATTCTTTTTAGTAATTGTTATTATCATTTAATTTGGGGTTATAATTTTATAGACGGATATCGATCAATGCCAAAATTTCCTTTTACAAATTGTCATTGTCATGCGATTTGGGGTTATAATTTTATTGACGGACATCGATCAATGTCAAAATTAAAAATCGATTGTTGCTGTCAAACAAAATTCAATTTTTTTTATTGCAAAAATGTCTTAAAGATCTAATCAAAATGAACAAGAGGTCACTGCTAAGCTTATAAGTTATTTTTCTCGAGAAAGACACGCTGTAGAACACTCTTGCCCGTGGACGCCCGCGGACGAAATGAGGTCTACGTATAACGTAGATGAGGTAAGCACAATGCAAAGGTGTAATATTCCGATGTAAAATACAAATTGATAGTTTTTTTTAAATAATATAGCGAGTTGCTGATGCTTTAGAAATAGGAATTTCAACGGTCTAAAGGATTGGAACTAAAGAGATCGTAAGTGATAAAGAGTTTAAGAAAAAAATAATAAATGTCGAAACAAAAACGGAACTCGTTTAATCAATAATATAGGAACGTACCTCGTACCATAGATAAAGGAAATAAATTTAGATTGGAATGCCCGTCAAAATTTTGGGTCGAGAAATTGTTTTGGGTTGCGACCGTTGTACGCGATCTGGCGCTGCTATAGCGGTTGCTAAGAACAACTGCAAACAAAAAAAGAAATAATTTTCTCTTGCCCATATCTCTTCTCAAACATAAAATCTTTCAAAATCTAAACCGCTCTCATTGAAAAAATTTCGAAAATGTTTAAAGCGTCCATTTTCAAAGTAATTATTGCTATTTTGTGAGTTTAATTTAAGTTTTATTTACTCAAACCTCAAACCCGTGATAATTGTGAAAAAGTCGCATTAAAAATTTAAAAAGCTGTGCTGTGAACTGTGAACTGCAAAACCCATCGTGGATCATGGCATAACGTCGGTTTCCAATATTTCATTGACAGGTATTTCACATACCTGTCCCTATATAAAATAAAGTTTCTTGTATGCAACACACTGTATTTTATTTATAAAATTAAAAGAAAATAATAAATTTGAATAAATAATATTTGGCAACATAATTCCGGAAAAAGCTGAACCGATCCGAAATTATCAAAAGCTTTGGGTCGCGACCGTTGCAAGAATAGCGCCAAATAGTGTTTACATTGTCCTTATGAGCGCTTTCCAATCTAAACTTGTTTCATTAATCTATGGAATGTGCTTAAAATTTTCTAAATCATATAGCTTCATTCAGAACCTCCAAATTAGTGGTTTCAATTACACTTTATACTTTTTAGTTTACGATCATTCACAATGTCTAAAAAATACAATTAAAATTAATAAAATATCCTAGCAACAGTTTGCGGTAGTCTGATGTATCCATAGAGAAAGCATAATATTTAGCTTATAAAACAATAAACTTTTGATTTCTAACCAAAATTTTTCTTGACAGGTGATAATCAAAGGCTAAAATGACATTCCTCGCAAATTTTGAAGTATAATTAGTGGAAAAGTCAAAAGTTTGTTAACTTTTTCCAATAATTGAAAATTACTACCACTAATTATGACGTTCTGAATGCTTACATTAAAATTTGGTGAACAAACTTCTACGGCTAATTGAAACTACTAATTTATTCCACTGATTTCGAGGTTCTGAATGAAGCTTATGAACTGATCCCAGACACAACCTAAGTCATATTTGACAAATAATGATGACGTAACGGTGGACAATGGCTGAACAGTCCTTTTAATAAAGAATTTAAAAAGTATTTTTTCACCAAGATTCAGCGTTGTTTCTAGACAGTTTGTTTGTAGAAGACCTTCCTCGATCTTTCTTTTCTACTCGATGTGTAATAGTGTACTATTACTAGTTTTTTTATATTCAGAGTTTTAGCGTAATATTTTCTCGTTTCTGAACAATTATACACCGGAACACTATTTTTTCCAGGTTCATTGTTGACGTAGGCACCATGACCAACGACATGAAACACTCCCTCGGAGCCTCTGCCAGCGGAGTCTTCTCCAACTCGGAAGCGCTGTGGGAGTACATGCTGGCCGCGTCCATGCACACCGGCGATCGCGTGTGGCGTTTCCCCCTGTGGGAGCACTTCACCAAGCTGGTGGCCCACCACCACGCGGTGGACGTGAAAACGTACGGCCGCGGTGGTAGGCCGCGTTGCGGCGAGGCCTGCAAGGTGGCCGCGTTCCTGAACGAGTTCGTGCCTTGCGGCGATTGGCTGCACATGGACACCTACGGCGTGATGAATACCGACGGCAAGGACTACGCGTACTTGAGGAGGGGAATGTCGGGTAGACCGACCAGGACTCTGGTGGAGTTCTTGTCGCAGCTGGTGTGCCATAGGGAGTGAAATACTGGTGGATGAAAGAGTGATGGTTGAGTTTGTACTTTTTTTATATATTGTATATATTTTTTTCATTGATTTTGTAATTTATGTGTTTTTTTTGTATAAATAAAAAATATTTTTTTGAACGATGTTTTGATTGCTTTAGTTGATAAACCATTATACCACTTTGAATAAGAAGATTAAGGAAGGTGCATATCAAAAATCATAGATCGAACACGACGGGTTCCTAAAATGGCCGACTTAAATTCCGGCTTATCAGTGCCGTTCTAATTTTATTGAAAACGTGTAAAAATATGATGTGGGTAGACACAATAATTCGTTGTTTTATTTTACGTAAGTCAAATTAACGTATCTAAGGCTGTATTCCGTTGCAAAACCAGGCGAACCAGACCGGTAAAATACGGTAAAGAGCGGTTCCTGAAAAATATCGGTTTGATACCATGGTACAAAGAATACAAGGTATGATATTGCGCAGGTTGGTCGCTACGTCACAGGTGATAACAGGCGCTATTGGTCAGCACGCTCCGCGCGCCAGTTCAAATCGCCAAGGTATTGTTATAAACCTGTTTTTTTGTTTATATACCGTCATTGAATTGTCGCTAAGCAAGTTACTGTGGAGCAGTGCGTAAGGAGTTGGGCTAGGAAGCGAGAGACCGGAGTTCGAATCTCGGCGGGACATAAGTTTTTTTTTAAATACTGTTGTATTCTATAGTTTATTTTTGTAGTATAAAAGAAAGAACTATTTATTCTGTTATTTTTTAATCTGCGGTATTAATATAAATTGATTGTTGGTACAATACCTCATTTAATATAAAATAATATTCTACTTTTTGAAATGTATCTGGCCCTAATTGTACCTAAAAGTAATATATTTTTACAGTGATATACCATATTGTAAACTATTGAATATTTCAATCACTTAAAAAGTTAATTTGCATTGAATAATTGCCTACAATCAAAGGAAATTTGAGCTATATAATCCTTGATGGGTATATTCTGGGTATGCAAATACTTTTTTTAATACCTCTAAATTTTGGGTTTCGTTCAACCGATTTATTCTCAAAACCAGAAACATCTACATATAAAAAGAAGCACAGGTCACTAATTATAATAAACTTCACCCTTGGAATTACTTCTATCACAATTACAATACATTCATCTGCATTGGCATTTTCTACTTTTCGATGGGAAACAATATAATTCCCAACATTTTAAATGATGTAACAATTCCTCTTGTGGTTACTTTTCCATAGATATCCTCATCTCTGTCCTCATGTGAATTCAGAGGCAATGAACATAAAAATTATTTACCATAAACATCGCAAACTAAAAACCTAATAAACAATTTTATACCGAATATAGAAATAAATTTAGTATTCTTACCTATTATGGTCCAAATCCATGTTAATAGATAATTATTATTTTTAAATATATTTTTGAAACTGCTGGTTTTAGTAATTATTAAATTAAACGAACTAAAAAGTCTTAAAAATAAAAAATTCTTAACCATAACCCCAAAAAATGCAGATCTCCTGTCAACTTTCTTTATTTTTTATTTATTCATTATTTTCCTAGTGACGTCACAGGTGGTATGCGCGAACTGAACGAAATTGGAGCCGATATCGATCATACCTTGTATTCTTTGTACCATGGTTTGATACGGAACGGTTTGGTAAAATATTGGAAACGTCAAATATTGACGTGTTCTAAATTTCAATACCTCTATTACAAAATGTATCTTTTATGCATTTTTAATGTAACTATTCTCTGCTTTTACGTTTGCTTCTTCTTTTCAATGGAGTTTAATATTGAAAAGTACTTTATTAATAAACTGTTAAACTCGTTAGACAGCTTAAGTGAAGATTTGCAGGTCCAATATTAAAACAGATCAATAATAAATAAACAAATCTAATCAGTATTTATATTTCTATAGCTTACAAAACATTCACGATTACTTGTTGTTTTGTTTTTCATGTTTTCTATAAATGTTCCTGACTTTAAGAAACAATGGCTGCATGATAAGTTTAAATGGTCCTAAAAAGTAGTCATTCTATTTAGTTAATGACATTTATTTACCTTTATTGTCTACCTCCTTTGCTTTTGGATGTAAATACAAAATATTACAAATTTTAGAAATTAAATGCGAATTTTATTCGGACTTTCAATATTTGCTTGATTTCTGTCACATAAATGACATTGATTGGCAAACAAAACCAGAAAAACCAGCCTTCTCGCGCTGGTTAGTTTTGTGACAGTTATAACCGAATTTTTCAGGAACCGTGTTCCGTAATAAGAAAACTTTCAGGAACCCGATAAAAACGGAACATAAAACCATAACCAAAGGCTCTGCCAAAGGTAAGCAACGGAATACACCCTAAATTCTTTGGCATCTAATCTTTGACAAGTAAAAAAATAAAAGCAAAAATGCAAAAAAATATATAATTAGATCATTTTCAGTGAATTTCCTAAATGATCGGTTTACGTATGTATATTCACTTACTAGCGAAAAGTTATTCTATTACTTCTTTCGATTTTTGACCGAGATCTACCGCACGCTACACAACCAACTATTTTACAGTCTTTTGATAAATCGTAATAATGTCACTGCAGTGGAATTCTGTAAGCTCCGTAGTAAGATATTTCCTGTCTAGCCTATGCTATTTGTATACGATTGATGAGTCACTAGACAGGAAATATGTTTACAGAATCGGGCCTCTGTTAATTTAAGTTCTGCTACAAAATTTCCTTCTAGATTTACTTCCTGTAAACACTTCAGTAATAGAATAAATAATAAACAACACAAATAAGCTCAGTAAAGACTGATAAATCCACAAAATATCAAATGAAATTCAAATGTGTCAAATGAATCGTCAAATAGAACTGTCAAGGATTCTCACCCTCGGCTTTGACCCTAGGGTCCCACCTCCGTCTACCATGCATGAATACATGGATAGACATTATACTCCTTCTTTAATCTTTTTATTCAAAGTGCCGTTCTAATTTTTATAAAACATTTTTAAAAATATGATGTAGGATAGACCCAATAATTTGTGGGTTTTGTTTTACGTTGTCAATAAATGTTATTAGTTATTACAATTGTTAAAAATATATTTATAGCAAAAATAGATAAGTTATAATAAATTTTTCATGACAAAAATACTCAATACGCTACTGAAAAATCTAAATCAAATTCACGCATCCTAATTATTTTTGGCAAGTAGCAAATAAAAGCGAAAATACAGGTAAAATATATAATTAGTTAACCCTCGGTGAATTTCATAATTGATTGGTTTTTAATTGATATTCTTAGGTACCAGTAAAAAGTTATTTTCTTATTTATCTCCATTTTTTTTACCGAAATATACGACACGCTGCACAACCAACTGTTTACAGTTTTTGTCTGAGATTCTCAATAATGTCACTGTTAATTTAAGTTCTGGCTCAATATACTTCTAGATTTACTACCTCTGGACACTACCAATTGAAGGGGTTAGAGCAAAAAGGGTATAAGTGCAGAATATATCATTTTGAGTGATCAGAGTTTAAAGTCAATTGCTTTTTGAAAATTCTACGAAATAAAAATATTTTTGTTGTTAAAGCGTGTGACTAAGAAAAATAAGTACAAATCCAATCAATAAAGTAAAATTTTGAAATAAAAATTGGTTTAGACAAAATTTTGAATTTGATGTACTTATACCCTTTTTGCACAGACTGAAATAGTAATTTTGTTGAAGTCGATCACATAAAACTAATTTTATTTTAAAGTAAACATTTTTATTAAAGGGAAACAATTTATTATTCATAATCTGAATCAAGGTCATGATCATCAAGGTCTTCTCCATCATCCGATTCTACATTTGCTTCATTGTTGTTAGTAGTACTGGGTCCTGGTTCTGGTTTAGCAGTTGTTGTTTTGGCCTTTTCTGTTTTCTTTCCTTTAGATTTTGGTGGATCATGTTTGTGTAAAAGCATGATAAATAGGAGGGAATGTACTCAGAAGGCTCTGGAGATTATTCCATTTTCAAGTTTAATAGGCATTGAGGTTTTGTTAGATTGTTGAAGTGTTGATTCTAGGGAAAACGATGGACGTCCAGTGGAATGTAATCCGCAAGAATATTTTAAAAATGGAAACAAATCATTTAGAGTATGTTTAAACTCAAATGAAAATGTTTCCATATATTTGCCATATTTAAAATAAGCAATTTCTCTAAATTTAAGTGGCTTTCCTTCAGATACTTTTTTAAAATCTTTTATGAGATTGTTTAAGTTTTTGAAAGAGTAAGACATTTCCTGAGTCATATTACAGACGATAAATTTCTTTGAGGAACGAGCAATCACTGTCCTCCAATGATCAGGAATATACACTTGCGGATTCTTTTTTTTTATTTTTCTCGATTAAGGCAAAGTTTCTGTCACATTCCATGTACGTATGGCCAGGTTCTAAAAATTTATGATGGATTTCTTCTAGATGAGTAGCTTTTGTTAGAAACATAAATAATTTGCAAATGTGTTTATTTTTATTTTGTCCGCCACATGAGTCACTATACGCTATCAGTTTGGTAACATTGGGGAGCAATAACTTAATAAAGTGTATTAAACAGGAACCAATTTCTTCTCATCCTCGACCTGCTACAGTTTCATCCCAAGTGTACATGTAAGCTTCACCAGTAATCAAATTATGGATGCAAAAATTGTATGTCCAAAGTTGGCGTAGATAAAATACCTTTGATGTTGTTAATAACGGAGTAGGTAATGTTTGTTGTAAATCAAAACATATTACAGTTGTTGCACTGATTCTCTACTAGCTTGTCTCTTTGAATAAAACACTCGCGAGCTTTTTCAACTTGTTTAATTCTTGAAAAATAACTTATTGTTGTGAATAAAATATAAACAGTGTTCAGTTGCCGGCAGCCATGACAAGAAGGAAGTATTCCTACAGGTGGCGCAACGTTGCCAAATATCCAAATTTTAAATTTTTACAATAAGACATTTTTAACGTAACATTCCGGCCGCCTTGAAATATAATTTCAAAATTAACAGCTTAACTTAATAACATTTTCTTGCTTACAAACTACCAAATTAACAACCAAATTCTTAATTGTTACAAATTAGCTTTTTACACCATAAAGATTCTCAGTTTAGGGTTTACAGTTTAGTTGGTTCGCTGCTGTCACAAGGTAATAGGCACAATTTTGTAACAGGCCTTTTATAGACACCATTCTTAAACTTTACCGACACCACTCTCACTACACCGTCTACCCCGGGATGTAACTCCTGCACGCATCCCATAGGCCATTGCAAAGGAGGACTGTTGGCTTCGCTCACCAGCACCATGGATCCTACTTTAATAGGACAGGGATCACCGTGTTTCCATTTACTCCGGGATTGCAGTTCATGGAGGTACTCTTGGTGCCATCGCTTCCAGAAGTGTTGGACGATATACTGAAGTCTCTGGAACCTTGTTAGGCGATTTTCTGAGGTTTCAATGTAAGACTTTTCTGGGAGTGATACTAGACTTCTCCCAACAAGAAAATGAGCTGGAGTTAGGGGATTAAGTTGATCTGGGGAGGGTGAAATTGGACAAATAGGACGTGAATTGAGTATTGCCTCGATCTGAATGAGAACCGTCGCGAAGTCCTCATAAGATAAGTGAGCCTCACCGACAACGCGTTTCAAATGAAATTTTAAACTCTTAACCCCTGCTTCCCAGATCCCGCCAAAATTCGGTGCACGAGCAGGAATGAAATGCCAACATATTTTTTGTTCTGTAAAATAAAATTTGACATCTTCCTGTTGATATTGATTATTAATGAAATTAAATAGTTCCTTTAGCTCACGATTTGCTCCCACGAATGTCTTGCCATTGTCTGTGTAAATATTTAAAGGTTTCCCGCGTCGACCGATAAAACGTTTGAAAGTCGCTAAAAAACAAGAAGTAGTAAGATCAGTTAAAACCTCAAGATGCATAGCTTTTGTTGCAAGACATACGAATATGCATACATAGCCCCTAATTAAATTTGGCTTTCGAGTCATTCGGTCTTTAAGCAAGAAAGGTCCGGCAAAGTCACAACCAGTGTTATAAAAAGGTAAGTATTGATTGACCCTATTCTCAGGTAAATCGCCCATAAGGTAAGTATTAAATTTAGGATTTAACCTGCAGCATGTAACACAATTTCTTATAACCTTTTTTACTTGATTTCTGCCCGAAATTGGCCAAAATTTGTCTCGAACTGACGATAAAAGAAGTGTATGTCCTGCATGCATAAGACGCCTGTGTTCTTCTGTAAGTATAAGTGTAGTTAGTAAGTTATTTTTAGGTAATATAATCGGATGTTTTTTGTCAAATTCATGGTTTGATTTCTGCAATCTACCTCCTACCCTTATTATTCCATTATGCATTAAAGGATTCAACGATAACAATGTACTTTTTCTACTTATAGGTAAGTTTTCTTGCATTCTTTGATACTCTGTTGTAAATGATTCTTTTTGTACTATTTTAACTAACTCATTAACAGAATGATCTAACTCTTCTATAGACAATGTACCGCTTCTTTTAATTAAATTCTTTTTCTTACACTGAACATTCCACAAAAAACGTAAACAATATGCAAAAACTCTTTTTAACTTGGAAAACTTAGAAAACCTTGAAATTATATCAAAGTGTTCAATTGTTAAATTTACAATAATTTTTTGTTCGGGTAACTCGTTTGGAAAATTAAAATCATCCTTACCTTGAAAACTTGTTGGCTCAAAACTTGGATTTAAAAGCCATTCTGGCCCTGACCACCAAAATTTATTATTTAATAATTCAGTAGCAGCCGTTCCACGCGTAATCAAATCAGCGGGATTGTCAGCTGACTTCACATAATACCAATTCGTAGCATCGGTAAGTTGTTGTATCTCACTCACGCGATTCGCCACGAAGGTTTTCCACTTATTCGAAGGCCCTTGTATCCAGTATAAAGTTATCTGTGAATCTGACCACAAGCAAATTTTATTAAATTTAATATTTAAATGTTGAATAACCTTTTGTGCCAATTTTGCAAGCAACAACGCAGCACACAGCTCAAGTCTCGGCAGTGTTACCTGCCTAATTGGAGCCACTCTCGACTTTGAACAAAGTAAATTAGAAATACATTCGCCTTTTTTATTAATACTCCTTATGAAAATACAACAACCATACGCCTTTTGACTCGCATCACTGAATCCATGCAGCTCTATAATATCATAATTCAAATACATTGCTCTTCTAGGGATTTCTAAATCATTCAGGTAAGTTAAATTATTTTTAAATGTCAACCAATCTGACTTAATAGAACTAGGTATTTCATCTTCCCATCCTATCTTTGCCTCCCATAGTTTTTGCATTAATAGCTTACCCACTATAATAATCGGACTTACAAGACCTAACGGATCGTAAATCTGCGAAATCATTGATAAAATACTACGCTTATTTATTACATTATATTCTCTAATATTGACTGAAAATTGAATGTTATCTAAGCAAGCATTCCAAACAACACCTAAAGTTTTACTTGACTCATTTTCCCCAAATGTCATTATTTTTGAATCAATCTCTTCGTTTATTCTAAATTTTTCACATAGATCTTTCTTGTTACAGAGCCACTTTCGTAATTCAAATCCAGCCCCTGCCAAAATATTAGATACCTCACATTGTAATTTTAGTAATTCCATTTCGCTATTAGCGCCCTCTATGTAATCATCCATGTAAAATGACTTAAGAATAGAATCACTTGCCTCTGGATAGTTTGTTGAGTTTTCTTTGGCTAATTGCCACAAACAACGCACCGCAAGATAGGGAGCAGACGCCGTACCGTACGTCACTGTATTAAGTTTATAAATCTTGACTTCTTCAGATGCATCAGGCCTCCAGAAAATTTGCTGCAAACTTCTATCATTCTCATTCACTAAAATCATACGATACATTTTGGATACGTCCGCGGTCATAACATATTCATACTTCCTAAATCTTAATATAATTGCTAATAACTCGTCTTGAAGAGTAGGACCACAATATTGAATATCATTAAGTGAAAGACCTGACTTAGTTTTCATTGAAGCGTTGAATACCACACGCACCTTAGTGGTCACACTGTCGTCACGTACCACAGCATGATGCGGCAAAAAATATGAAACAGTATTATCAAATTCACCTTCTTTCACTTCAATCATGTGACCCATGCTTAAATATTCATTCATGAACTTAATATATTCCCTTTTTAACTCTGGCTTCTTTTCTAACCTAACTTCCTGTGAATAAAAATATTGCAAAGCCCTCTCCCTAGAATCTCCTAATTTCTTAATACTCTCTTTAAACGGTATGGAAACAACAAAATTTCCCTCTTGAGTTCTTTGAAAATTCTTAGTAAAATGATCTTCGCAATATCTATCACTTTCACTCAAAACTTTCTCTAAACCTATCTCTTCGATTTCCCAGAATCTTGTGATCATTTTATCCAAAGACAAACCTACCACCGTATTATTAATTTCTGGTGTAAACCTAGACAATTCCATAACACCGCCTACTACCCAACCTAAACGGGTCTCTTGTATAATAATTCTCGATTTTTTCACATGTAATTTTCCCTCGCATAAAAGATCCCAAAACACGGAGGACCCAATTAACAAGTCAATTTCTCCTTTTACGTTAAAATTAGGATCGGCTAATTTTATTTCCCTAGGTATCTCTAGCTCAGTTTTGTCAAAAGAAATTGTAGGTAAATTATCTGTTATTTTTTGCATAATTAAACATTCGATCGTCATACTAAAAGTCTCATCGCACGAAAACAACTTAACACTTGTTTTATTTTTTATCTTTGAAATGCCATTGCCTATCCCTGATATGCAAAAATTCCCTCGAAATAATTCCAAGTTCAAAAGTTTACTCATTTTTTCACTAATAAAGTTGCTCTGCGCACCACTATCTAATAATGCCCTACACTCGCGTAAATTACCAAATGAATCAACCACTTTGACAATAGCCGTAGGTAGCATAACCTGACTACCAACATAATATGTGTTATTATAAACACTACTCATCGCATGCATAGTCTCATTGTCTTCTGATTCCATTTTTCCCTCGCGCGAAACCAATTCCCCTGTATCGTGAAAAATCTCGGTATTTAAACTAACCGTGGCAACGCCGCTTACTTGAGCCTCGTGTACGTCACCATCGGTATCATGCGTGACTCTCGCGGTTGTCTCGCTCCCTCGCTCGGTCGCTTGTTGTCGTATAGTGGTGGCATTGACGCTAGGATTATGCAGTAATGTATTGTGATATTTTCCGCATTTTTTACAACCGGAATGTCTGCAGTCTTTCAGCTCGTGTGATCGCCTGAAACAATTGCTACATAAATTCAACTTGCGTATTTCAATAGACCTTTTATCGATTGTCAAATTCAAAAATTTCTCGCATCTAAATATAGTATGATTTTGTTTACAATAGAAGCAACTTATACCCGGTTTTTCGTAGCTACTGTACGCATTGAATTTTTGCTGCACCCTAGGACCCCTTTCAATATATTTATTTTTATTTTCGTATTCTTTTTGAGGACCTTTATTTGTCACTTCCAGTTTCTCTAGAATATCACATCTTTGCTTTAAAAATTTATTTAAGTCAAACATCGTCGGAAGCTCTCCCTTATAATCAAATATTTCCCATTCTTTTCGCGTATTCTTGTCCATTTTCGTACAAAACAAATAAATTAAAATTCTGTCCCATTTATCTGTTTCTTCCCCTAAAATTTTTAATGCCCTAACGTGTTTTGTCATAGAATCAAAAAATGTGCGAAGATTGGCATGACTTTCCCTGTCAATTACTGGGTATTCAAATAATGATCTCAAATGATTATGAATTAATAATGATTTTTGCTCATATCTGTCATGCAACAACCGCCATACATCCTGATAGTTAGAATCTGACACTGGTATAGACTCTATTAAATTCAAAGAATCATCCTTAAGGGACGACCTTAAATAATAAAACTTTTGCACATTAGTTAATCCGGAATTTTCATGTATTAACGCTTTAAATGCATCGCGAAATTCGACCCAAGCATCGTATCGGCCGCTAAATGTAGGTAATTTTAAGGCAGGCAATTGTACAATTTTTTGCGGTACTACCGAAGATACATTTTCAGTAGGTACCATGCCATTGCTATCATTCTGGGAAACATTTCTTGTCTCAATACCATTTAAAATCTCTTGAAAATCAGCCGCTGTACTATAAAATGAAACTTCAAAATTTTCCCGTTCCTGCTCTTGCGCCCCTAACTGATTTTCCTCAACTTTACTCTCAATTTCATCTTGAATCTCATAAAATTTATCTAATAAAACTTCTACCTTAGAAAGCCTTAGTTTTAGTTCCACGACTATACGTTCGCTTATCTCCTCGTCTTGAATTTGCTCTAGATATGATTTTTGCCGCGTAAGATTTCCCTTAACAGCCGCGCGCTGCCGGATTAATAAATCTAGCTCTGCCATCGTACTACAGTTCTCATTCAAACAAAACAATACTAACAAAATGGTTATACAAGGGTAACGGTTAAAACAAATGGAAAATTAAAGGAACTAACCTGCTCTCTTGCGCTGCCGACAACAACCTTGAGAACTTTTATCGCCCGAATGTAATTATCCAGCTCGATTGGACCATTTTATTTATGTTGCACTGATTCTCTACTAGCTTGTCTCTTTGAATAAAACACTCGCGAGCTTTTTCAACTTGTTTAATTCTTGAAAAATAACTTATTGTTGTGAATAAAATATAAACAGTGTTCAGTTGCCGGCAGCCATGACAAGAAGGAAGTATTCCTACAGGTGGCGCAACGTTGCCAAATATCCAAATTTTAAATTTTTACAATAAGACATTTTTAACGTAACAACAGTAGTATCTTCATGTTCTTGTGCATTGTAACGTCTAAATCTTTTGCTTCAGTTGCTTTATTGGCTTTTCTTTGGTGGATTTCTAAAGCTATCTTAGCTGAATTAACACTCGCTTCATTGGCTGAATGTTTAATAATACTTTGCAAGCTATCGCACCTTGAGCAAGTATCAGTGTGAGGTTTGTGAAAACGTAGATTAAACTCTGTATTAAAAATTCTGTGATAGTAAGACAACTTAGCAGGGACTTTATTATTTTCGACACAGTGTTCTTTATATAAAGAGTAAAGTTTTGTTATATTTAGCTCAGGGCATAAGTATCTAGTATTGCTATTATCTTTTCGCGAATAGTGGCTTCTGTATCTTGGAAACAGCTTTATATGTTGAATAACAAAATCTCTAGTGTTTTGGTCAATTTTATTAACACTTGGCTGTTTTCCTGATCAACCTCACAAATACCTAGAGCATCAGTTTTTTTACACACTACGGTAAAACGCCTATTGCTTATGTCAAAAGTTTAAAAAAAAATGATTTACAAACACGCTTGTTTAGCAGCATAATTTTTGTAGAGAAATTTCGTGGTCTATTAGATTTTTGCCTTTTTGGTTTGTTTTTTATTATACAGGATGATAAATAGGCTGTTTGTAAGTCGTAACTAGGTAATTTATAAAAAATTTCAAATAGTTCCTGCCTATTGGCTTGAGAAATATTTTCGTTGCATTTATACCTGCATGTATGATTAAATACTTGTAACTGCTTTTCTGGGTGTTCTATCCCCTGTATCCTATGTAACATTTTCCCTCGGTTCTAAGCTTCTTCTTATTATTTCTATTCCATTCAGGCATGCATATTTTTCTTTTTCTTGTTCTTTTCGGAGTAACATGAATATTATGAACATGTTGAGTATCAGTTTTTGATTGTTCTGAATTTTCTGATGAGTTTTCAGATAATGAGGTTATATTTGGAAGAAACTCTTCATCTTCATCGGTATGATATGGGTCGTCTGATGAATAATCATCTAAAAAATACTCCAATTATAACCTCAAAACTGCGGTTCCCGTGCTTTCTCTTACCTTCATTACTGGAGTTGTCTCTGTTACTGTTACTGGCCATTTTCTTCTGTTTTAAACTTGCAAGGCACTAATAAATTTTGTTTAGTGCAAAAACGCTTTAAGTGCACTTATACCCCTTTTGCAGGGACCGATTTGTTTAAATGATTAACAAGGTTTTATATCTCACCAAAAGATGGCAATCCCGATCGCCCATCGCGCTTATATCCGTTTTGCTTTGAAAGAAATTTCATTTAGCTAGATGAATTTGTACTTATCTCAAAAATAATAAATAAGTCACTTATACCCTTTTTGCTCTAACCCCTTCAATTGTAGAAAATGGGGGCTTTAAAAATTGTAAAACATGGGGGCTTATGGTGTCGATTCTATACTCGTTCTCTATTTAACTTTTCTTTTATTTTTAAATAAATAGTACAGCTATAAATAAATTATATATACAAATATTTAAGAAAATCAAACCAGCATTTATAAATAATAATAATAGCTCCCGTATATAGCGTTTAACGCCTTGGGAGTAGCAAGGTACAGCTTGCCATGCTAGAGCCGTTCGGTATACTGGGTATACAAGGAAGGTAATGTGGCTAGAATTACGCTTCAACCGCCTATTATTACCTCAGGATTGTGAATCCCAAGTACTCATTTAAGGCTGAGTCGACCTAGGTACCCAAACTATTTTTATTTTAATAAAAATAGTCGGCTGATGAAATGCCGGGTGTAGGATTCGAACCCATCCACACCGTGAGATTGGTAGACGAGAGTCTGTACTTCTACGCCACCGGGCACCTGTATTTATAAATAAGAAGTTAATAAATATGTTTAGCACCCATTTGAAAAGCACCTTATTAAAATAAAATATATATTATCTGTATATATGTATATAAAACAAAAACATTTTAATAATACTTTTGATTTCTAACACTAATTATTTCATAAATCTATAACATCAAATTTATATTTAACAACCTAAGAAGTCTCATTATTAGATATTTTAATTTAATATTCATTTTTTAATAAATATATACAAAAGTTTTGATATGTAAATTTATTAACTTGATTTAGCTTACTCTGTTATATTGTTAAAATATATCTATCTAAAGTTAATTCTTCACAACTATTACCTACAGGGTGACAATTTGAAAACGAACAGTATTTAATATTACCTCAACCAATGATAGTATAAAAATTTGGCGAAATACGTCAATTTACATATCAAGAGGGACAATTTTTGAGGCATTTGTTGTCATGTTACTTTCAACCCTTTGACCCCCAGGGCACCTACCCCTAAACTTTTAAATGGCAACCCCTATTTCTTTTACCATTTTTGTGTTCCTTATAAAATTCTCAAAAAATAATGCAGTTTACGTAGAATTCGATAAGAAACACAAAAATGGTAAAAGAAATAGGGGTTGCTATTTAAAATTTTAGGGGTAGGTGCCCTGGGGGTCAAGGGGTTGAAAATAACACGCAACAAATGCCTCAAAAATTGTCCCCCTAGATATGTAAATTGACGTGTTTCGCCAAATTTTCATACTATCTTTCTGAATTCTTTTTGAATTGATTTGTATTGTATGACATTTTTTGTATTATTTGTATATTTGTTTTTGTGCTTTTTTTGTTTTGCTTTGTCGATGAAGCTGTTTTGGTTTTTTGTACAATAAAGCGTTGTTTTTTTTATCATCGGTAGAGGCAATATTAAATACTGTTCGTTTTCAAATTGTCACCCTGTATACCTAAAATCTTTGATTTAATTCTAGTTTCATTTTTGGTACTCCCTATACTAGGTAAATTTCTTTCTATATGCTATATATCTATATTCTGAAAAGTTTGGCACACTTTTTAATTGTTAACAATTCTAGTTAAGAGTTTTCTGCAAAGATTGCATACTATGTTTGTAGCTTGACTCGACTTGTAAAATGACAGCCAATGACTATTGTATTTATTAAATACATATGAATATACAGGGTGGTACATATAAATATCCGATCTGATTATACAATCTATTCTAAATTTTCTCGGGGTTTCTTATTATTCTACAGAAAAATTATACTTTTGAGGACATTTAATTAATTCTTCACGGCGATAAAAAAAGAAAGTAGAAAAAATATTGTGCAGGGTTGGCGTTGGTTTCTATGTAATTTGACAAATAAATAAAGCTGTCTCTTTAGTTGTCAGTTTTGAGTGAATATTTTTTAATTCTCTTTCGTGTCGATTGCTGATTGAATGCCAGAAATGGCTTAAAACGAAATAAGTAAATTACTCAGCCTGAATAGCTGAGGCGACAAACGCCATTTCCAAACTTCTTTCTTCTTACAGTGCCATACTGTGTATAGAGCGTCGGCTAGCTCTCGTATGTGCTTGTGATGTGTGTCATCCTTGTGTCATCAGTGTTTCACAAGTACACGGGACCTACAGTTTATTGCCGAATCCGAACGGCACTATTTGAGAGGCTGTACAAAGCAAATATACTCAAGGTGGTTTGCCATTGCCTTCCTTGAGGTGGCGGCTCGTTGGTCGCTCTATTTAGATAAATAAATATTTTTATTTAAATAAATAAAGCGACCGTACTGGCTGGGGATCGAACCCAGTACCTTCCGCTCCGCAGATCGACACACTAACGCTGGACCTACAGCCGGCCATATCCAAACTACTTCCATTTAAATCCCGAATAACTTATGAAAAGGAATACAAAAATTTTCAAAAATGGAAGCAATTAAAAAACGAGCGAGCAGAAATGAAGTTTTTAACCTATCCTCGCTATTAAAGTATCATTTAATCTACCCTTGCGGTTAAAGTACTATTTTATCTACTATTTTTGATAGATATAAGGCAATTTTAACAGTTGCAATGGAAAAAAGTATATTTTGTATTTAAAAACCACCCTGTATCATAAACTATTTACAAATTTGTTATTTTTTTATCATTCTTATCTGAACCACTCCCACCCTCACCGAACCCGCAACATTCATCCTCGTCCATATCGAGGATCACTTGGTTTTTGAACTGATACAAATTGCCCAGGTACTGACTACCGCCGGACCTCGGCCCGCTGATGCTGATCTGTGGTACTTCCGGTCCAGCCGGAAGCTATAGTTATGTCTGGGACAGGGCCAGGCTGGCGCTGGTCGACTCCTTGATGATGTGCGTCGTTTTGATCTTCTCGTCGAGCGAGTCATACAGCGGGTACTCGCAGCAGATGATGAATTTGAGGAATTGGGGTACTTCGACGTAGATCGCGGGTGGGATGGGGATTAGCGGTGATGTGGAGGCTTTATAGTATCTGTAGTCGGAAATGCTGTAAAATAAAATAATAAATACCGTATGATCGAAAAAAAAACGGCGTCCAGTTGGCTTGGAAATGACGATCGATGACATTTCCCATATAATTTTACATATAAAGTGACAGCGATCTTCATTTCATAGCCATCGTTGACGCCGTTTTTATTCGATCATATGGTATTATTACCTATTTAGAAAAAACAATTGAAATATACACAACCAAACTTATATGGTAATCATCTATTATTTTTCATAATTTTTGAGACGTATGAACATTTTGTGTTTATGAACAAAACTCAGGCCTTACCGAAGACTTTTAATGAAAAATAATTCATATAGCAATAAAAAAATAATTAGTTACCAAAAAAACACAATGGTATGTTTTCGATTCTGAAATGAGATTAACATTTTTAACGATCAAAAAGCAAAAACAAATAGAAAATTGATAATTTTAACAGTCCGTGTTGCCACCTCTAGCCCTCATGCAAGCTTCTATCCGCACTAATGTGGTTCTTATTAAATGATCAACGTTGTCTTGGGGCATGTTTTCCAATTCTGCTAATGTTGCATCAATAAGCTGTAAGAGATTTCCTGGGTTATATCGGTGATCTTTAAGCGTTCTTTTGAGATGGTATCTCAAATGTTCGATAGGGTTTAGATCTGGTGAACATGCAGGTCAGTCCAAAACTATGACACCTTCGGTTTCAAGACGTTCTTAGGCCACTCGGCCGGTATGGGGAGGTTGTGCATGAAGTTAAATAATACCTCCCCAGAACATTACATGTCCTTTATGTCTTGGTACAGATTTGGCAGCTTGGAATCTCGCTCGTCTTCCTTGAGCTCTGAGAACACGAATTCGATGGTAATCTGATCTTAGGCCAATTCTGGTCTCATCCGGAACATTTTGCCAATTCTCAATTGTCTAGTTTTGATGTTGAAGGCACCAATTTAGCCGGTCAATTTTATTTTGTCGAGATAACTGTGGGACCTGTAAATCTCTCCTACTGTAGAGGGTGTCCCACTAAGAATAGCTCTCGGCTGTATTAGCCGTAGGGGCTGCGGAAAAAAATATTTAAAACTAAGGAGGCTATGGGAAATTGCTGGAAATTATTTTCATGTTTGTAGAACGACCGCTAGGGGGCGCAACTGCAACAAAAAATATGAAAATGGAGTTTTTACACAATTATGCCTAGATAAGGTGTACTATAAGCAATAGCTTCATAATCTTCAGTAAATTTTGAATATTTTTTGTTAAAGCCATTTTCCCCTATCTACCAAAATAAAGTGGTGGGAAAAGGTTAGATCTGTTTTAATTTAAATATTAATAATTCTGGACTAAATGATCGGAATTCAACAAGCGAGGGCTCGTTTAAAAGAGCGTTTCTTACTCTATATTGTACCATATAAACAATAATAATAAGCTTTTGAACGTAGACTCTAGGGGGCGTTGTCTTACAATTTAACAAACATTGCGCGTTTTTTCAAAAAAATTAAATGCAATAGTATATGTTATTTTACCTGATAGTAAAGAGTAGTTAAAGCTTAAAAAGTCAGCGAAAACATCATCTTGACATCTTCTTTCAACCGAAGATATTAGCAAAATTATAATAAATACCAAAATATAAGCCCTTAATTACCTTATTTTTACAATACGGTATCAGTAGCCCTCTTAATTATGCCCATTCTAACAAAAAAATAAGATGGAAATAGTTAGTTTATTTTAAAATCGACGAAATACCAGAATACCATAATACCAGAGGTATTAATATCTAATAATTAAGATATTAATAACAGTGAACAAGAAACGATGATTCAGTGAAGTCATGGTAGGCTTTGGAAAAAAGTTGCTTTTGACGTAATAGTATAAACGTCAAATTGTTATTAGATCAACATTTTGATAGTCTTATCAGCGTTTTTTATCTTTTGATTAATTTTTCAAAATGCCAACAACTTCAACTATTTCGAATAATAAAGGCAGTAGTAAAAATAAGGTAACTAAGGGCTTATATTTTGGTATTTATTATAATTTTGCTAATATCTTCGGTTTGAAAGAAGATATCAAGATGCGGTTTTCACTGACTTTTTAAGCTTTTACTACTCTTTACTATCAGCTAAAGTTACATATGCTATTGCATTTAATTTTTTTGAAAAAACGCGCAATGTTTGTTAAATTGTAAGACAACGCCCCCTAGCGTCTACGTTCAAAAGCTTATTATTATTGTTTATATGGTACAATATAGAGTAAGAATCGCTCTTTTAAACGAGCCCTCGCTTGTTGGATTTCGATCGTCCAGCCCAGAGTTATTAATATTTAAATAAAAATAGATCTAACCTTCCTCCACCACTTTATTTTGGTAGATAGGGGAAAATGGCTCTAACAAAAAATATTCAAAATTTACTGAAGATTATGAAGCTGTTACTTATAGTACACCTTTTCTAGGCAAAATTGTGTAAAAACTCCATTTTACCATATTTTTTGTTGCAGTTGCGCCCCCTAGCGGTTGTTCTACAAACTTGAAAACAGTTTCCAGCAATTTCTCATAGCCTCTTTAGTTGTAAATATTTTTTTCCGTAAACCCTACGGCTAACACTTTACGAGATACATCCGAGAGCTATTCTTAGTGAGACACCCGGTACAACCCTTGAGCATGAAACCTTTTTCTTATGGTTTCAACCGAAACGTTCACACCTGTAGTTGTCCTAAGTTGTCTTTGTAGCTCTGGTTGAGAAACATTGGGATTTTTTCTAGCAAATTGGCACACAAAGCGGTCTTGTTTTTCAGTTGTGACTCTTTGACGACTTTGTCTAGGCTTCTTCTTGAGAGTTCCTAGTTCCAAGTACATTGCATATGTCTTCAACCAAACCAAACTAACTTTGCTACGTCTCTTTGGGGCATTCCTGAGAGCAATGATTCTTCCTCTCTATACATCTGTTCAACCAACATGGGCATTTTTTATATTTTTTTTGGATCGATTGAACATAACCGGACAATCGTGATTTTACTACCGAACACAAAATTCCCAAGAAAATAACTCGCAGCAGTCGTTTATTCTTTATTAAGTATCATGTTTTATTACAACAAAAGGCCTTATCTTAAAGCTGTATAACAATTGTTTTCCTTGAAAAAAGATTAGTCAGAAATAAAGAGTGATCCCATATAACTTTGGTTGTGTGTATATTTACTTTAATTGTTTTTGTACTTACTCTCTATACTTCTCATCGGAGGACTTTTCTAAAAGAGGAATTCCAGATAAGAATAAAATTATCAACGTAGTGAACAGTGGGGACATGATGGCTACCCATTCTACACCCTCTAGTACGTTCAACGAAATTACAAATATGCCCCACCATAGCACAACTTCGCCAAAGTAATTTGGATGCCTGGATAATCTCCAAAGACCTAAAAAGATAGATAGTTTTCTATCAAGTGATATATATTATATATATGAGAGGTCGAAAGTAAGAGTGGGATAAAATTTTGTTCAAAGCAAAAGTGGGTTTAAATTTTCTCTAAGATCAAAAATAGCATATACATCACAACTTTGGGCAAAAGTGAATCGAATATTAATCAGCGCAAAAATGGTTCGACAAAATATTCAGGGCAAAAAAGCTATAAAATAAAACATGACTACCCGTAGACACTCAGTGTTTCTGCCTTCCGGCTTCATCAATACGGGAGGAATCAGCAACGATGAACTAGCGATCCTGAAAAAAGAGAAAGAAAAGGAGAAGCAAACGAGGCACAAAGGCGCCATTTGCAGCTGGTCCGGCAGTAGCTTACAATTTGAAGCGTTTCTCTGGGCCAGGGTGATAGCGGCGAGGTGTGTTGGAACGCCTCCGCGGCGGTTTCGGTAGTAACGCTTCAAATTGTAAGCTACTGCCGGACCAGCTGCAAATGGCGCCTTTGTGCCTCGTTTGCTTCTCCTTTTCTTTCTCTTTTTTCAGGATCGCTAGTTCATCGTTGCTGATTCCTCCCGTATTGATGAAGCCGGAAGGCAGAAACACTGAGTGTCTACGGGTAGTCATGTTTTAGTCATGTATCATGACTGGTCTTTCTGTGGACTTGCCCAATAAATTCTAAATTCTTTCTTCGTTTTTTTGTAGTTTCCACGATAACTTCCTTTGTTATATATATATATATATATATATATATATATATATATATATATATATATATATATATATATATATATATATATTATATATCACATCGTATATCGAAAAAAAAACGGCGTCAAAGACGGCTAGGGAATGAAAACCGATGATAATTTTGTCGAGGTCAAGCCCTAGACGTATTGGCGCCTTAGACTTGAATATAATTCTAAATCTCATTCAAACATAGGTTCTTAAAACATAATAAAAAATGTGTTCAGATTTTTAAATTCTGATGGCCGTCTAACGGACAAAAGAAATATTTTTGTATAAAGGTAAATAATTATTGTGTTGTGTATCTGTATAAATAAAAATATGTAAAACCATTAAACAGTATATGTATTGTAATCGCAAAACATTTTCCGATGCACGTCATCAATAATATCGATATTGATAAACCTGACTAAATGAAATGTTGGCAAAAATGTTTAAATTTGTTGTATAATTTAAGATACCAAGCAGCTCTTCATTTGACTTTATAGAGTAAATGATTGTAACAGATAATTTATTTAGATTAAAGCTGCAAAAATTAGTTTAAACCGAATTTTATTATCGCTATGTTAGTCACATTGCGCCATTTTCAGCAAGGTTGTCGTTTATTATTTGACAATTATCCTAATGTCAGTCATTATTTTGTATAATATCGTGTTGTTGTTGAATCTTTGTGGGTAATTCTCGTTTTTTGCATATTTTCATAGTCTTTTTTTAAAAATTGTACTTTAAAAGCACAAACAGTTCTTTTAAGAACTAAATTTTCGAGTTTTTGTATTGCATTTCTTGAAATTGTGTGTTGAATATGCCGAAGCATTTAAACAGTCGAGAGTAAAGAGCCTTGTAGCTTCCCTGATAAACTATTTTACTTGTGTCTAGCCCTAGCAGGCAACTATTAGGCCCGACCAATCACGTTAGAGTTTTTGACAAACACAAATTAAATAACACAAATTAATTAACACACTAACCAACCTGATTGGTCAAGCTTAAAAGATGACTGCTAGGGCTAGACACTTCTACTATTTTGAACGAGAACGTGACAATAAAGATCCTTGACTGCAGTCAGAGAAGTAAGTTTGATTGATAAGCACATTACACCACTTTCAAAGTTATTTCTACGTTAGTTTATATTAAGTTCTGTGATTATTAGTTTGTGCATTATAATATACTGCATTATATAATAGCACCCTCTTACTTGTTATTACTACTTATGGTGTTGTTATGTGTACATCAATAAATAAATAAATAACCCATAATAACGCGTAGAATAATCTTCATAATGGACTAGTTTTTGCCAATATGTAATAAGTAAAATAAGCTATAAAACAAATAAATCAATTAATTACTAAAATATTAGTTATTAGATTAAAAATAAAACTTAAAAATCTTGTATGAAATCTAAAAATGATATAATAAATATATTATTTGTCACTTTTGACACATCGCTGTCCATCGCTTGTCATTCACGTGCATCGGAAAATGTTTTGCGATTACCATATGTATTTCCCTTAGGTATGTTCACAGTCAACAATTGAATATATTACTGAAATTGTCATCCCAATAAAGGCAGTGGAAGTTCAAAATCAATGTTATATTAGTAATATTAATATGTTTACCATCGTTGCACCATTTTCCTTGATTGACAGGGTCTTGCCGGAACGAAAACTTTTGTAAATCGGCATAAGTTTCAGCCAGAAATCCCAAAATGAACAATCCTGCTCCCGCAGAGTCCAGAGTTGTCATCGTTTTGGGTGCCAGAGGTATGGAATGGCGTGGAGAATTGATAATGATTACTGGAAGACTTACTACGTACACCCACACAGCCTAAACAAATCAAAGTTGTGTAATAATTAATAGTTATTTATGTATTAAGGGAATTATAAGGGTTTTAATTACCAAGGAAAAAGTCTCTGTCTAATAATTGCCCGAGGTTATTATCATTTTATAATTCCCGTGGTAGATAATTGTATTTCTTACTGAATTCTAGTTATTTTTTATACAAGACGATAAAATGGTATTTATTCGTATCCGGTATAAAATGGTATTTTATCGTCGACCGAAAAGATTAATTCACAAGCGATGAAATCGCGAGTGAATTAATTTCGGGAGTCGATAATGCAATTTTATCGTGTATAAAACAATATTTTTTTCCATAGCGAGTTACGTTTTAAAAAAATATTCATAAATTATTATTCCAATGAATTTATTACGAGTAGAAAAAATATTGTGCTGGGTTGGCGTTGGTTTCTATGTAATTTGATAAATAAATAAAGCTGTCTCTTTGTCAAAGTTTGTCAAGTTGTCAGTTTCGAGTCAATATTTTCTGATATTTTTTTAATCTTTTTCGTGTCGATTGCTGATTGAATTGGAGCTAGAAATGGCTCAAAACGAAATAAGTAAATTACCAACAGATATTCAGGCTGAGGCGACAAGCGCCATATCTAAACTACTTCCATTTAAATCCCCAATAACTTAATTACAAAAATTTTCAAAATACAAAAATTTTCAAAAATGGAAGCAATTAAAAACGTGCGAGAAAAAATAAAGTTTTTAACCTATCATTTAATCTACCCTTGCGGTTAAAGGACTATTTTATCTACTATTTTTGATAGATATAAGGCAATTTTAACAGTTGCTATGGAAAAAAGTATATTTTGTCTCATTTTAAAACGACACAATTGTTGCATTTATTCATCTTCCGGTATATTTGTATTAACGCTATAGGAGGAACTTTGTTTGTTGCCAGGTTACTATTGTATTAAAAGACCTGTTTATAAATTGACGGTTGTTATTAATCGAGTTAAGTTTTTGTCAAAAAAAAGCCTTTCGCAAGAATTCGGCATACGTTCGAGTACGATTTTATTAATATGGAGGGAATATTAAAAAAAGCTGAAGAAACACGACAAGCGTTACTTCCACCTAAAAGTGAATCCATTTACAAAAGGAATATAAAAAATACCTTCAGTGGTTGGGACAGAAAAATATTGTAGGAGGGAATGTCGACGAAAGTGTACTCTTGTAAATTTATTATACGTAGAAAGTACTGCATTCCGGAAACTTCGGCAGCATATTCTGCAGATAAAAATAAATAAAAAAAAGTCCGTATAAATGTATGTCCTAAAATGCTTAGTTTCGGAGATACAGGGTGTAGAAGTTTCATTTTTATTTCGATTTTTTCCAAATAATTTCTGAACTAACGTCAATATTTGGATGAAAATTGGTGTATGGAAGTTTTTTGACATGAGAAATTTTATTTTGATGTCAATATATGACTCCTATTTGTAGAGGGCGCCACTTATATGTGTTTTAACTGTTTTGAAGTGTAATAACTTTTCGACCGTACCAGTATAAAACTACTGAGTGAAAAAATATACATTTCCATGATTATTTAGATAAAAAATGTCTCTTGGTAAAAATCGCTACGAGCAACCGTTCTCAAGATATTTAGAATGGAAATAGTCAAAATATACCGGGTGCGTCTCAAAAGTGGCTCACCCCTATAACTTTTTTACTTTTTTAAATAAAAAAATGAGATTTGGTATGTTAGTATATGAGATAAATTAGGATTGAGTGACGTGTTCAATTGTTTTTGGTACACTTCCTGTTTCACCGGAAATGACTACAACTTTTGATATTTAAATGGCACCCTCGGTATCTTGTTACTTTATTCGATAGAAAATAACACTCTGAATAGAATGACATATCATATGTCAACTTTTGATATTTTCGGATATGGTTTTTTTGAAATGATAATTTGCGGTTCGTAACGAAAATTTGACTCGAAATACTAAGTGTATGGTATCACATTATTCGTAAAAAAATGCCTTTTCCAAATATGCTAATGAACCACCCTCGTTCCATTTGAAAAAAAAATGAGATATGATTAAAAATACGATTTGAGCATTTTCTAACTGGCCAGGACAAGACACTAAAAACATTAGACGGTCAAATCTATTTTTCCAAGGCTCCTTGATTAAGAATTAGTGTTTTTAACATAGCCATGGCACTCTAGATTGAATCTTAAAATACGATTTTTTATTAAGTGAAAATGTCAAAAGTTGACATATGATATGTAATTTTATACAGAATGCGTAAAAAAATACCGAGGGTGCCATTTAAAAATCAAAAGTTGTAGTCATTTCCGGTGAAACAGGAAGTGACCAAAAACAATTGAATATGTCAATTAATCCTAATTTATGTCATATACTAACATACAAAATCTCGTTTTTTTATTTGAAAAAATAAAAAAGTTATAGGGGTGAGCCACTTTTGAGACGCACTCGGTATGTTGAGTTGGATTGTAATTTGACTGAAATAATAAATTTGGAAACTTTTTATTGTTTTAAATTAATCATAAATGTTTCTTCGAAAGAATGATGATAAAACAGTTTCTGTTGAACTTTCGGCACAAAAATATTTCAAATTTATGATTTTAGTCCAATAACTACAGTACGTCTGCTGGATCTGTGTCTATGAAAGGAATGCGGACAAAAAACATTTAAATAAACAGCAATATATTTTATACGTCGACTTGACGAGTACGTCACCGCAAATCGCTCCGCCCACTCATTTTATTGGCTACTTGCAAATTTGTCGAATTTTTATTGATGGGACGTGTTGTCTAATTTTTTACGAAAACATGGAGAGAATATCGTTTCCCCTCTCACAGATACCCCGTAGCTACAGAACGGACAGACGTACTGTATTTAGTCAACATGTTTAATTCATGTTAGTGATGACAAGTATTGATAATTTCGCTACTAAATATCTCGAGAACCATTACTCGTGGCGATTTTTTACCAAGAGACTTTTATTACGTAAGAAACATGGTAAATTTTATATTTTTTACTCGGTAGTTTTATACAGGTACGGACGAAAAGTTATTACTCTTCAATCCAGTTGAAAAATATGTAGGTGGCGCCCTCTACAAGTAAGAGTCATATTGACATCAAAATCACATTTCTCATGTCAAAAACTCCCAGATGCCAATTTTCATCCAAATATTGACGTTATTTCAGAAATTATTTGGAAAAAATCGAAATAAAAATGAAACTTCTACACCCCGTATCTCCGAAACTAAGCATTTTAGGACATATGTTTATACGAACTTTTTTAATTATTTTATCTAGCGATGGGAACTATCGAATGAATTAGACTATCGAATGGTTACTGAATGAATGATTTCAACTATCGAATGGTTTTATTCGAATAAAATCATTCATTCATTTGTATACTAAAGCATATGTGACAACCTCGCCGATGCGACTAAATGGTTATCGTTGCGCAACGACTATCGAATGCTTTTGATAAATGAAATTTGAAGTATTCGTTTGATGTTTGTGTGCGTCAGTGCATTATTAGTTCTTCCAAATTTTTATAACTTCGCCTTGTAAATACTATCCTATTTTTGCGTTTATTAAAATATTTAAAGTACTAAAAATAGTAGTTTTTTTTTAATTGACGATTGTGTGCGAAGTAAGTGGTCAAAATTTTTCCAAAATTTGTGTGATGATTTTCCGTAGCCCTGATCTTTCAATTATTTAATTTTTATATGGTATATTATGGTTAGGTTAGATTGCATTTTTTTAAAGGGAAATTTTGAGGAAGCAGCAATTTTTAACAGAGATGAGATGAACTTACAATTAATTTTAAAAATACATATTTGTATTTTAGATGTTTTAATAATATGAATTAGTTGAACTTAATAATCATATTTAAGTAATGTGGTTAAGTAAATTGTTGTCGAACTCAAATTTTGGGGTGAGAGAAAATTAAATTGAAAGTTTACACGTGCCAATTTAAGAAAAAAAAGTTAACAATGTTTGTGCATTTGTTTATGCTAATTCTCTCTTACATATAGTTTTTTGCGAAGAAATATTTCATTTATGTTTTAAAGTAAATGCCAGCAAAGTAAATATTATTTTAAATAATAATATAAAGTAATAAAAGTAATATAAATAATTTTTGATTTCTAATTTTTATTTATAATTTCCTTCCATTCACTGCATGCTTAGAAAATTAATAAATGTTTATATTTCATGAGTTTTTAAAATTTGTTGTTAATATAACAAATTAGTTCTGTAATTATTATTATTCAATAAACCAACGTTGCCATTTAGAGACTATATTATTTTTTAAATAGGATCTAATATAAATACTTTTGACTTCTATTTGTTGTTTATATTTTGCTACTACTTAAAACAAATGTTTATATTATTAAATGATTGTAAATTTTGTTTGTTAATAGGTATAACAAAATTATTACTGTTATTATTATTTATTAGAAACCAGTCTTTGCTTAAAAACATTAAAAATCATTTTCCTACATCCAAAAAATAAAAAGTATTATTGCAGTATAACAACAGAATATTAATAAAAAATGCAAAACATATAGACATACTATCCCTAACTAACTAATGCTAAAGAATAATATTCTTTGCTAATACCAACTAATACGAATATATGGCAACAGCGCCCTTCATAATATATTTTGTGTAAATACTAGCACCTCAATAAAAAAATAATGTGTCCTTTATCTTTATTTGACTCCGCAAAAATCAAAGTTGCCGGCTTCTTTCCTTAGCATTGCCACCGACTGCTGTCGGGTTTCTAGGAAAGAAACCTACGTCGCCGGACGACATCTAAAATCCAGTTTATATTTTATTAAAATCGACCCTGACGAATAAATGAATTTGATAAATGAATGAATTTTATAAATGAATGAATTTTATAAATGAATGAATTTTATAAATGAATGAATTTTATAAATGAATGAATTTTATAAATGAATGGTTTTTGCTGCCGAATTACTAGAATACAATATTTCAAGGCAGATGACGCATCTATTCGATAATTTTTATTCGAATAGTTTTCGACGAATGTTTTCTTACTAGCTATCGAATTATTCGAATGAGTTGCAACTATCGAATGTTTCGATAGTATTCATTCGATAGTTCCCACTACTAATTTTATCTGCGGAATATGCTGGCAAAGTTTCCGGAATACAGGTCGGACCACCCTGTATGTGAAATAAATAAAGTAAATAAATTATTAGAGTAATTAGATAAGTGTCCATTTTCATTTTATATTATTACTCAAAATCTCTCTCTCTCTCTATTGTATTTTATGGTTGTTACCTATAAAATGTACAGGGAATTATGGCATCTTAATTCCCGTTAATAATGTCCCAATGGAGTTATGACTGTATTTATGGTTAGCGTGACCAAGACGATATAAGCTTATATTAATTCAGTAAGATATAAAACTTATTAAATGATTTTGTAATAATTTAATACCTGGAAGGTCCAGAATATGGCAAACCGTATGGTGTTGCTTTTTTTATCTTCAAACTGTTTATCCCTTCCTATTTTGATGATTCTGTAGAGAAGGTATCCAGATAAGCGCACTCCCCATAAACATACAAATACTGTCACCATTAATTGTCTGCTGTCGTAGTTTTTCTGAATAATAATATTGAATAATAAAATAATCTAAAGAAATATACAGGTGTGTATATACAGGGTGGTTCAAAAAACCATGTGCCATCTCCCGAGGGGAGATTCCTCACGTAAAAATAAGGCTTATTTTTCATATCAACATAGGTCCGATTCTGCTTTGTTTCGTAGCTACAAGGTGTTAAAATCTTAATAATTTTTCGATTTATTATAATTTTCTTCCAAGTACTTTTAGCGTTTCGAATAAAATTTTGAAGGTAAAAGTTACTGTAAATGCGACATATCCACCAGGGACGTGCATATGGGTTATCACAAATATTTTTATAAAAAAGCATGTACGCCACTGACTTTTTTCTCTTGTTTGCAAAATAGAGCAAGCAGTTTAATGCCGATTAAAAGTTGTCTCTTGATATTTTGTCGATTTCGGCCTCCCTTGATGAGATAAACGCAGTTTTACTAATTTGCCTTGTTCCAAGTCTAATAGCAACCTTTAAAAAAATGTAATATCATTAACTTGCGAAAATTTTAAATAAGTACTCATTGATTCCACATCAAAAATATGAAAAAAAGTTCCTATAAACATGGGTATGTAAATGCATAGTTTTAGAGTTACAGGATGTTAAAATTTTTTTAAATTACCTTAAATACCATTATTTTTTTTTATTTGAAATTATTGTAGGTTGGACTAATAGTAATAATAACTAATAGTAATAATATTTAATAATAAATTAGGTAAAATATATGCTTAATTAATTTTATTTTTATTTTAATTTTAATAATTGTGATTAATAAAATTGCGTTTATCTCATCAAGGAGGCCGAGTTCCTTAAATCGTTCCTTTAATTGTATATTGTAAATAACTTTTGATATCAAAAGAAAAAAGTCAGTGACACACATGTTTTTTTTTTGAAAAATATTTCAGTGATAACCCATATGCAACCCTGATGAATTTATTGACACTCTTTTAGCATTAAATTATGTAGCACTTATAGTAACTTTTACCTTCAAAAATTTCATTTGAATCACTAGAAGTACCTGGAAGAAAATTATAATAAATCGAAAGATTATTAAGACTTTAACAGTCTAGTTACGAAACAAAGCAGAATCGGACCTATGTTATATGAAAAATAAATCTTATTTTTACGTGAGAAATCTCCCCACGAGAGATGGTACATTTTTTTGAGACACCCTGTATAGCAATGTTTTGTTTAACTTCATATAATCGACAGATGAGGCCTTTAATTTTTAATTTAAAAAGAGGTCGAAACGTCAAATAATTTAGCTACATATTGCTTAAAAACTTAGTTAGTTATATTGCTTAGTTATTACCTTGTTGCTTTCCTGTCCAAGAAAGAACGTCAACGAGGCCAAAATCACAAAATTAATTCCTCCCGCAAAGTCGGATACTTTGTCCATTTGAAAAATGGCCGCTATCAGGAAGAAGATCACTTGCATAGTGACGATCACTATCGCGCTGATGGCGAAATGGTCTTTGTCCAGTATATCCACAGCCATTGTTATACTTATTTGTCACTAACTTGGTCTTGGTATTCTGTAACAAACATAAACTGTGGGTGGGTTATTGTAGTTAAATTATTAGATTCTTAGAAATTCTGTTTAGTGTGGGTATTGCGCCACAGGAACGGTAAATCTAAAAGATGAACAAATTATTTTACGTAAAGCCACTGCATTCGAATCCAATGGGAAACCAACTTTGGCAATGGGAAATCAGTGGCTTTTTAATAGTTTTGCCTATTAAATCAAAAAGCTGGTTTGGTTTGTAAATTGCCACTACGTTAGTACGCAGTGTCAGTTTACACAAAATAACTTTTTGTTCTTTAGATTTCTATTTCAGTGGCGAGACTGTTTTCCATTAATGTACAGGGTGCAATGGGTCAAATTCGACGCTTTTTCAGGGAAACACCCTTTTCTATCTATAGGAGATAGACGAAAACTAATATTGGTGTCTAGATCTCAATTTTTATCAAAAACATGTTGGTGAAAACCGCACATCAATATCTGTTACCGTTTCGGAGTTACGGGGTGTTTTTCACAGAAATGTGCATTTTTAACCAATCGCTGTAAATTTTTTGCTATAGAAAATTTTGTATTTTTATGAAAATATTTCCAAAGCACCTTTTTACGTAGAATATAATGGTTTAAGTGTATTTGTTTTAAATTAATAATTTAAGAATTATCAACAGCAAAATTGATTTTTTATTTGGGACACCCTGTATATTTTTAATTAACTCCGAAACGGTAACAGATATCGATGTTGTTGAAATGTAGCCCAAAATATTGTACACGCCACTGTGTTGCATGGAATTTATGGGTGACCCTCAACCCTTGTCTTCTAAGGGAAAGTTGGACCATATGTTTTTTATTGTTTCTTTTATGGTCTTTTAGTTGTAAGATGTTTTTGAAAATAAAGTTAGTCTGTATTCAGAATCCAACAAATTAGTTTTATTTCGCGACGGCTCCTTTTTTAACAGATGTGCGGTTTTCACTATCATGTTTTTGATAAAAATTGAGCTCAGACTACGAGATAATACTAAGATATATCTCAGGAATATAATTTTAACTTCTATAGGATGGTTCAATAAAGTGTGAGTGGATCGGGATGTTTTTTTTAATGGAACACCCTGTATATTATTGCATTTTTGGCTTCCTTTCAGATCACTTTACAGAATACAGAATACTAAGATAAGAGTGAATATATTTTGATGATTTTCGAGAAATTATGCGAGGCTTTATAAGAAAATACTAAATTTTAATGTTCTTGTATTATAATAGTATATTATATAAATTTATTAAAATAGCTTTAATAATCTTCAAATTAAAAAAAAACAAGAGATTTAAGACTTAATTTAAACGGTAAAGGTAGCTTTTCAGGATGTCTGTAGACAACTACAGCAAATACAAATTTTCTATTATTAAATATTTGGTTCTTAAAATATTACTTACATGTTATTTATGTCAACACATAACATTAAAACTAACAAAAAATGTATTATGTAAACTATTGTAAACATATAAAGATTAGATAATATGAGTTTTATATTGTTACAAAAAATGTCTGCAATACTTAACAATCTTATTATTATTTGGTTATGCATATATATTTGACAGTCTGTTATATGGTGATCTAACAATAGTGATCTTGAGATAACAGATAACAGTATTTGGGAAGCCTAATTTCTTAAAGATTTAACACTTTATCTGATAGAAGTAATCATCCAATATAAACAAATTATTAGATATAAAGGTCTGCGCAAATTATCATACACGTATAGTTAACGGCACGTAGCGTTTCCGTTATAGTGGACTGTTTATTTACATATTCATAGGTACATGAAGCATTTCAGTTTGCTTGAGGGTGCAGCCACACTATCCTAAAAACGGCGTATCGGCGTAACGACCTTGAATCGATTTCCAGTAATTCTATTGGCTGAAATTTTTGACAGATGAATTTGACAGATAAAATTTTTGACAGATGAATGTTTCAGCCAATAGAATTACTGGAAATCTATTCAAGGTCATTACGCCGTTACGCCGATACGCCGTTTTTAGGATAGTGTGGCTGCATCCTGAGTAAAATGACATTTTTTATCATTTTCTCTTAAAAAACGTGTACAGTTGCACTGGATATAAAAGAAGCAAGGTAAAATTTAGTAACAAGATTTTTTGTGATACCTACCTACATCCAATGTTAAAAGAATTAATAAACTACCCAACACAATTATCGCATACTTTCTAAAAAAAATATTAATTTGAAAAACAAGACACTTTGAAATCCCTGACTTACAATTTTAAATAGTAGGTATGGATACAGTTAAGGGAGATTCGAGACAATAAGCCTGACATAGTTGCAAAAGTGTAAATACAACATACTTATGAAGTCGATTGGCCGACTATTTAAGCACGCGGCTCTATAAGAATAAATATATTGGTCATAAATATGCAACTAAATAGTCGGTCGATTAAAAATTGCCTGTCAGAGCTTAGCCTAAGGCTACGCAATGTAATCAAATATTGATCCGATTGACTCCATAAGAATGCATTGTTTTCACATTTGCAACTAAATAGACTAAATAAACGGCCGACTAAAAATAACATGTCAGTGCGTACCCTAATTATCCTAAAAAACTCACAAGAGAAAGGCAGAAAAATGCATGTTTCATTTAGAAATATGTAATGATTACTTTTATTCAAATATGCGATAATTGTTTTGAGTAGTGTACTATTTTCCATACAATCCACATCTACCGGCATCCGACAAAATAATATATATTGTTTACAGTCAAGTCATTTTTGTAAAGACTTAATAGTTATTAATGATACAAGTTCGATACGAACATCATTATGAAACTTTTTTTATAGTCTATAAAATGAATAACTTTGAATTTTGACCGTTATTTTTTACCAACATGGCAAATATAAAATCCCTCTGTGAAAAAAGTTACTGATATTCTTTAAATTGAGTGCCTGAACGAATCAGATAGGTAACTCTTTTTACTTTCGTGAAATAGAAAAGGAAAATAATAAATCAAGTGACAGTTCCTCCTCTTCTTGCAAAAATCAACACGAAATGACATAATTGTCAAAAGTAAAATGACATCAGCTTTTGACATTTCTAAATATCAGACCAATGCCGTCTCTAATAGAACAGCCTCGGAGCGAGATTTATGACGCCACGCTAGTTAGATACTACGGATTAATAAATATGTTGTAGAATACATGGAAAACATAATTATTCCTCGTATTTTTGGTTTGTATTTTAAAAATGATATAGTTTACATGAAATATACATAATATACAGTTAATAAATACAATATATATACCTATACAAATGCAGCAAATGTTTTACGATTGGAAAGCCCGTAAAAAATTTAGGTCGCAAAATTATTTTGGGTCGCGACCGTTATACGCGATCTGGCGCTGCTATAGCGGTCGCTAAGAACAACGGCAAACAAAAACAGATGAACAGAAATAATTTTCTCTTGTCAAAGTCAGAATCTTCAAAAATCATAATAATCTTTCAAAATCTAAACCGCTCTCATTTAAGAAATTCAGAAAAGTGTTTATAGCGTCCATTTTCAAAGTAATTATTGCTATCGAGTGAGTTTAATTCAAGTTTTATTTACTCCAACCGGTGATAATTGTGAAAAAGTGAATTGATTTAAAACTTAAAAAGCTGTGCTGTGAACTGTGAACTGCAAAAACCATCGTGGATCGTGGCATAACGTCGGCTTCCAATGTTTCATAGGTATTTCATAGATGCGTCCTTATATAAAATAAAGTTTCTTGTATGCAACACACTGTATTTTATTTATAAAATTAAACAAAAATAATAATAAATTTGAATAAACAATATTTGGCGATATAATTCCGGAAAAAGCCGAACCGCTCCGAAATTTTCAAAAGTTTTGGGTCGCGACCGTTGCGAGAATAGCGCCAAATAGTGTTTACATTGTCCTTATGGGCACTTTCCAATCTAAACTTGTTTCATTTATCTATGGCCATAATGACATCCAAATGACAGTGTTAAATGTGTCATAATGACATTGTCGTAGATTAATCAATATAATGTTATTTAAGTCGTTTTTATGACTTAAGTCAAAGAATATACCTAGCTAGAAAAAGAATGGACTCTGCCATACTGAAAAATGGTCCCACGGAAGTGGCGCCATCTATTGAGTAGGGCTTGTTTTAAATGGATCGAAGCGCCGGATTTTTAAATGAGCGTATTTATTGAATTTTACTCTAAAATAATTAAATTTGATTATTAAATCTTATTTTTTACACAAATTCAACAATACTAATAACAAGTATCGTTGTGATGTGAAAAAATAAGATTTAACAGTATAATTTATACAATTAAATAAAAATAAAGCCAAACATGTGTAAACATTATTTATTATTTAAAGTTTTTATTTATAAGTCAAATATTTAAACATCGTTTATTATAATAAAACAAGACCAACGTAATACGCCCAAAGTTTTGTAAATTGAGTAAATATAAATAGGTACTTAAATGATGGCAAAAATAAAAGACTTACATTATATTTTTAGGGCCACAAACAAAAGGAATTGTCTAATTAAAACACATACCTATAACAAATTATAGTTTGAAAAACGTTTTGATAATATTATGATTGGCGCTATGACAACGACAATATTTTTTGAGAATTTGACAATAGTATGACAATGGCCTTTGGAAACTATGGAAACTACAAAAAAATTCTGACGCCATCTGGCAATAACTAGTAGCAACTTCTTAACCTAAAAATTAATTGCACTACCACCTAGCGCCTGAGGCTGGAACTATTTTATTTGAAATTTCCGTGGAAACGGTGGAACCGCTTTTGCTATTGACTTAAGTCTATATATGGTCTATATTTTCGACTTAAATCATGATGATCTGCAAGTTAAGTCAGTAAAATTACTTAAATCAATATAATTACCCTGAAGTCAAGACAACCAGAATTCAATTTAAGTACTTTTTTAAATGTTAATATTAATTTTCTTGTACTAATTTTATTGTAGGTACAGATGAGACTCAAATCACATAAAATAAAACGGTTAATTTTCAGAACAGCTACAAAAATATGTTGTTTTTTTATAAAATTTAATCGATTTTGTAGTAGGTACTTATTTTAATAATAATTTGTAGTACTTATTTTAAAAGTTTTATCCTAGAAATAAATGAGCAACATATATTTCTAGTTTTCTTATCATATTTGTTGATTTAGGATATTTTCTGATAAATTAATTCTTATAAGGGAATATTACCTAAGTAGTTTTCGATAAATTTTTACTCATGAAATTGAAAATTACTTTGTTTACGTCTGAATTTCTCTAAATATTATTATATTTATTTACGTTGAACTGATTTCGTTGAATTGAATTGCTTATTAAAATAGATCCTTACTGCTTACTGATATATCGTCCCATTGCTGCCAAAAGTCACTAACTTACTTTTTACTACTTCCGAGAAAAATGCGTCTAAAGATGAATTGCATTGCATAAAGATGTTATAGTTAGTAACTATTTGGTATTAAAATAAAACATAAATAGCCAGAAATCGTAGTTAATGACTTTTGCAATCGATTCTCCGCTTCAAAACATATAGTGATTGAATTTGGTTGTTCGGAAAAATGTTAGTTAGTGACTTTTGGCAGCAATAGATCGATATATTTTTGAAAAGTTTGAAAAAGTCAAATTCATTTCTTGATAAATATACAGGATGTCACATTTAAAAACCTCAATTGGTCAGTATTTCAAAAATGGAAATATTAAAAAAAATTATGCTACTGGATTCTACGCAAAAAGTTCTATAAGAATCAGTTTATAACTTTTTGATGACTTGTCAACTGATACAAGAGATGTGCATTAAACTGCAGAAAAATCAAAATTACTCTGTATCATGGAGATTACGGAGACCAAGACAATTTTGTTTCTGATATCTACAGGGTCCGGCAATAGTGCGTCGGGCATCTGTAGCTCCTAGAATAAAAAACTTCAGAATTTTGTTTTAAGTGCAAACCTGAAATATGTACGAGGATGCATTTCAGGAAAATATTTCTATAGGGTGGCTCAAAAAAGTGTGAGTGGATCGGGATGATTTTTTTTAAATTGAACGCCCTCTATATTATTGCATTTTTGGCTTCCTTTCAGATCACTTAAATATGTTTCGATAGTTTCCGAGATATTAATACATAAATAAATAAAAAATATATATTTTTCAACCTTCCTTAAAAAAGTTATTACAAATACTGATGGAAATACTTTCAGGACAAGAAATGTCCTGAAATCAAAATTATATTAGGTATTTAGGTATTTCCTTTAGATGGTCTGTACTTACTTTGATATAATCGTAATCTTATATCATACAGGGTGTTCAAAATCCAACGCAAACTTTCTAAAATATAAAATAATTTTTCTTTGTTTTTTATTTAATGGAACACATTATTTTTTATTAGATGGAAAGTTAAAAAATTAACATTTTTTGTATTTAAAGTATTTCAAAATTTTTAATGGTTTCGCAAATACACGCAGTATTATTTTATGTCACACAGTATTATTTCATATGAAATATAAAACCGCGAATATTTGCGAAATCGTTAAACATTTTGAAATACTGTAAATACAAAAAATGTTCACTTTTTAATTCCCCATTTGCTGAAAAAATAATATACAGGGTGTTCCATTTATAAAAAAACGAAGAAAAAATATTTTATATTTTAGAAAGTTTGGCGTAGAATTTTGAACATCCTGTATGATTTACGATTGGTATATTTATAGCAAAGTAAGTGCATACCATAATCCAAAGTAAATACCTAATATAGTTTTGATTTCAGGACAGTTCTTGTATTTTTAATATTTTTTTCAGAAAGGCTAAAAAAATTTTTTTTTTATTTATTTATTAATATCTCTGAAACTATCGAAATATATTTACTCATATATTGGGATTATGTAAAGTGTTTTACCGGAAATAATTACAACTTGTGATGTATAGATGACATCCTTAGTATTTTTTTACTGTCTAGTTTTACAAAAGTACCTAGTTAAGATTCGTGAAAATAGCAAGATTTTATCTTTACTAATATCACAGATACAATATCATTTTATCTGTGTTATCTGTGCTAATATGCGACCAACCTTAAATTTCAACTAAAATGGTACGTGATTTCTTATATATTGTCCTACTTTTCAGCACAAAAATAATAAAAAATAATAATTTTTCAGTAAAAAAAGAATCTAAATATTACTTGAAAAGACTTTTGTTTTTCCTCACTGGAAGAAAATCTACAAAGTAAAAAAATATTTTTTGTAAACATCACAACGTTAATCCAGTATTTTGTAGTTTTTCTTTTAGTTTCACCCAGAAGTCTTTTTAACGAATGAATCCACCACAAAGGTATCGACATTATTTTTAATCTAATATTAGTTTTGACCTTTAACATTTCTAAACAAAAGAAAAGATCAATGAGAAGTTTCCTCTTATACCACGAGCTCTAACGATTTTCAAGGTCACACAACATCCACAAGGATCTATTGATTTTCCAACAGCCCTTATACATTATTTGTTTAATTTAAAATGAAATTAATCATCAGGCATCTATTAAACTACAAGTCTCTTTATATAAAAAATAATCTTTATTTATCCCAAAGTAGTTGTTCTAAAAGTATTCTAATTTCTCTAGCATTTTTTAAAAATAAACTGAACAGTTTGCACACTATTTGTTTTGTTTTAAAAGAGCCAACGAACGTTCAAACGTGTATTTGTTTAGAATGTTCTATTTCCAATGCATAATCTTTCAATTTATATTTACCCAATCGTTTTGATCTAAAATTACTCTAGTTTGTGGCTAAGTTTGACATTTATAAAAAGGCAATTTACTGATTGTACTGACCAATTATCGGCATGCTAGGGACAGGGTTTTAGCGGTTAAAATGCACGAATGAATATTATTAACGTCATGAACTTACTGTGTACTTTTCAGTGAATTTTCCCCATGGTTTGTCATCAGCTGGCGTTTGAGGTTGTTTCAGCGTCGATACATCTGCGCTACTGAAAACCGACGCCTGAAATATCATCGCCGCGACGCACAGTGGTGTAATTTATGCCAATGCATGGCCAAAAATATTTATTCGTATTGATATAACATAAACACTTATTAAACACGCTTAAATCAATAATTACATTATTAATAATCGGCCGTAAAAGTAGTAAACATAACGAAAATGTTCTTATCTCTATATAGGCTTGGTGCCTTCTCCGCCGGTGCTGCTACTCTGCTACCATCGTAGAATATCTTAAACAACTGATATATATTATGTTACAGTAAAAGTTGGAAATCAGTGATTGTTAACAATTACTAGTAAAAGCTCACATTCACTGATTTGCTAAGACTACGCCAGTAAAAGTTCAACAGCTATTTTTGAAACCAACTTTTACTAGTGAATGTTAACATTCCCTGGACAAGAGCTGTGAGTTGAAAGATTCGGTTAGCGCGGTTGAAGTTGAATATACAACAATCTTGACAAATCTTTTCGGATTAATCACTTGTCTATGGGTAGCATGACTATTTTATAATTAATATAAAAAAAAACAATTAAGTTGAACGGAAGGCAAACTTGGATTAAAAGTACACCGACTCTTTGGGGCGTATGTTTAATGCTTTGTCTTAGTGATGTTAGTCTCTCAAATCTATTGTAACTTACCTTAATTGCGGCCCAACCTCTGTCTATCAATCTGTAACTCATTTCTGGACTGTTCTGGAGGTATTGTACCCGTTTATGATGATCTTACTTTTATACTTTTTTAACACTTAGTTATTTCTTACTATAGTAATAAAACGGCCGAGTTTTTAAAAAAAATATTTAAATTTAATACTAAAAAAAAAGAACAAATAAAAATATATATAATCGAAGTTACTTGTTACTAGTAAAAAAAAGAAAAATAAAGAAATGGATAAATACAGGAAACTTGTCTGGTGTCTGCTTTATTGAGAAATAATGGCAATTACTTAATAAATTGAACACTTCGTTACTAGATCAACACATTAAAATAATTTTAAAGAGGAAAATTAAAACAGAAATTATAAACATTTGACAAAAGGACTTAAAAAAATAACTATTAGCAGACGCCAGACTTAAAAACTACAGTGGGTCACATCGTGAACTTAACCGAGTTTCGCGAACCCGAGGGAGTAGTCTCTTTTAAAAACTTAAACCGAACTAAATTTTCTGCCTAAAAACAGCCCCGAGGTTCCAACATTGCAGGGATGAAGGGTGGTGAATTCGGTACTTAGCCAATAAGGTCATTCCTGTAGGATGTACTCTTCTTTGTTTGATTGGTCAGCTTCACACCGCCCTTCAAACCAAGTTGGTTCAACCTCGCATTGTTAGATGGCAGTACTATTACCTTTTTACATATTTAATCTTCATTTGGCGCCATTTACAACTAGGTACGTGCTTTTCTAAAGTTCCCAGATCCTTTACAAACATCCGGCGATAGTTATAAACATGTTATCAAGGGTGGTTATTGGTTTTACAACGTCCCAGCGTTTTTATCTATATAAGGTCTATCTTTACAATTTTTCTGTTTACTTCTAAGTTCTACAGTATTTGCTTTGTCCTTCTATAAGTTTGGGAATTTAAAAATATTCACGCTTGAAAGATGTTTGTTTTATTACTTCCTGTTAAAAAGACCCTCTTCCGAAACTAACAACCGAAAACATCGACTTGAACGCGAAATAATAAAAATAATAATATAAAGGAAATAATCTGTTACAAGGATAATATTAAATTGGACTAAACGTTGGCAACGTTGACCAACCAGATGTCTGGTGTAAATTCGCATTGTTTTTTTGTGGTTATGTATAATTGTTTTGTTATAGTTGTAATGTGCGGTATTTTTCCTATGGAACAAATTTTCTGTGAAAAATTAAGCCAAACTAAGCATTCGCAAGAATATAATAATGCTTGTTTTTTTTTTATTTTTTGCAATATAATGAAATCATAGCAAAAGTTAAGTATGCAAGAGAAAAATATATTAAGGATCCTAGTGACTATGAACTTATTAAACGTTTTGATATGCTTAAAGTAGCAGGTTTGAAAAAACGAATAACTCCCGTTGAAGAAAATTCGGGCAAACTTTATTTTGTCCACGGTGAAGAACTTTGTTAAAAAACACCTTTTACCAATAAGTAATCTTATGTTTATAAATGTTTTTTTTATTGTTTGTGGAAAACTAAATGTAAAGAATATATGAATAGAACAAAAAAAGATGCAGCGTATGGAACATTATTGAAAAAACTACAAGAGGTTGAACCAACCTCAACAAAAAAAAGCGTTAAGGCTAAAATAAATAGTATTCGTGGAAGTTTCCGAAGAGAAATTAAAAAAATCGAAGAATCAAAACGTTCAGGAGCAGGAACAGATGATATATACGTTACGCACCTATGGTATTCCGATTTACTCTTATTTTGCAAAGATCAAGAAGTTCCTCGAATATCAATCAGCAACTCTGACGATCAAGAAACTGAGCTTTAAAAGCCATTCCTTTACCCATTGGGTACGTGTTTGATGATGTTTTTTAAATTTGCTTCTCTTTTTTTAATAATGCATGCATATGCAACTGATAAATATAGAAAATCGTCTTCATCAGACATCGTTCACAATCAAACTGTATGTTTGACACTCAATCATGCTGTTCTGTGGCAAAGAGCATATTCGCACACATGTAGTTCATACATGTATGACATTCGTGTATGACACACAGGGTTCGGAAAACTACATGTTACTTTTAAAAACTACATAAACTACATTACATGTAGTTAATGTAGTTTATGTAGAGGGTGTAGTTTATGTAATATATGTATGTAACTTTCAAATATCAAAGTTTTGAGGTGAGGTTATAATAAGTTAAAGCTTTAAAAACACATAATGTATTTAAGAAAACAGAAGAAATATGGCTTTAAATATAATATTTACATCATATTATCTCTATTACATCTCATATAAAGGATAATTATTCATAATATCAATACATAGTTTATTAACGTAGTTTTCATGTAGTTAATGAACGGGAAAAGACGTAGTTTTTGAAGAAAAACTACACGTAGTTAATCAGGTAAATTACGTCTTAATTAACTACTTCCGAATCCTGAATTGACACACATCCACGCCAGTGTGTGGCGGCCCTAACCGGGATGGCGTGAAATACATAGCGAAAATTTCTGATTTCTGCCGTACCTATACAGCGCCGCGATCGGAATTTTTTGAAATCAACTGAAATGTACCAAGCCTATAGTATATCCCCGGATCGTCTTTACAAGAGGAAACACTTTTTTATCAATAATATTTTGAGGAAAAGTTTATTTTTATAACATTTTTTGCTTACCCTAGTCTGGTTTGCCCAAAGTTGGCCCAAGTTGGACGTGTGTAGGCCACTTTAGTACATTTACTTTTTTAATGCTGAACATAAAAACAAAAGTTAAAAACAGAGGTGAAAGAGAAGGGTTGTTGAGGTTTATATCTACCCCTAAAGGCACCTGACTGTCTGCGGATCTATTGAACTGGTAAAACATGGAGTATACGATGTATATGTCTATTTTTATTACGGGATGATTATTGTTTAGGACTTTTTAAAATGACGGCAAGTAGTTAGTTAGAGGAAAATTCTGTGAAGTTTATTAATATTTATGAAAAATACGTATGAGTTTATATGGAACACAGAGAATCCAATCCAAATATCGACTCTGAAATTCGGCACAGAATTAGCAGCGCCTCAAAAGCATTCTGGAAATTAAAAGACAGGGTTTTCTACAATCATGACTTGAGCACAAAAACGAAACTTGCAGTGTACCGAGCAATAATAATCCTCACCATGTTATACGGAAGGTTTGGTTTTAACGGAAAGCTCAGATTTTGGTTTTACGGACCTAGGCGCCGGCGCCGCGCGCCGACACACGAGCACATTAAACAAGTTGCAAGTTGCAACAGGGACATCTTAGACAACTGTTAAGAATCAAGTGGTACCACCATGTTTCAAACGCATCAGTCCTTGAAAAAGTAAGCTGCGAGAGCGCTGAAGTCATGATTACTAAATCCACCTTAAGATGGGCTGGCCACGTATCCAGGATGCAAGAAAACCGCCTACCGAAATCTCTTCTTTACGGTAAGCTGGTAGAGGGTAAGAGGAAACTGGGTGGACAACTCAAAAGATACAAAGATATTTTTCATGAAAACTTAAAGGGGATAAGTATGCAGCATCAGTGGGAGGAAGCAGCGCATAATAGAACGCAATGGAGGAGAATTGTAAACTCAGTTAACAACGACAACCAAAAAGTAAAGAGGCAACAAAGTAATGAGATTTTTAAATGTCCGGAGTGCGGAAGAGAGATAACATCACGTATCGGGCTTTTCAGTCACAGAAAAGCTCTTGAAAGAAAACGCCTTGCGTAACCATCTTCTGATGCGTGTCAAATACTTGTCAGTGAGTAATGACAGTAAGAGTAAGAGAATTCAAAATACAAAATTAGATAAATCGCCCAAATGGCTAGTTTTTACAAAAAAGTTATGTCCATAACGGTATGCGATTGATGGTCTTTCTTACTTTCTTAAAAATTTTATACTCAAAACTTATTAAAATAAAACAAACCATGTTCAACAAAACTTTTTTTTTTCGAACCATAAGCTAACAGTATATAAACATAAAATAGTTAAACATGTTTATCGCTTCCACAAATATTTCTTATACATAAATATTTCTTCATTTTCTTTTCTGTACCAAAAAAAGTGGGAGTAGCGAAAGACGCAATTTTTTAAAGAATAGTGGCGATAGATGGATAATTTTTAGATTTTGAGTTTGGTATGTAAAAAAGAGGACTTTTTCAATACGTGAGAGAAAAGAGGACAGTGAGATCAAAAAGAGAACTGTCCTCTGGAATAGAAGATGGTTGGCAACCCTACCTTAATTTGTATTCCAGACTCCTCCAAGCTCCACTCAATGTAGCGTCGACCACCGCGATCGATAAACAGCATCTCAGTACCACAATTTTTCCCGTTCAGTGTGACAACAGCGCTCGCTTTTAGCGGTCCGTTCTCTACCGACACCGATTGCCTGGTAGTTGCTACAACCCCTTTGCAACGTTGCAAATTCGTGGAAAAGGGGCCTTAGAGTCTGCCTACCCTTCGTTTCTTCTAGGGTAGGTAGTGTTAAAGGTGAGCCTCAGTTTGTGTGACTTTTAAGTATAATCGTGAGTATTTTTTCATTTTGTGGTGATAACTTTTATTTGTTGTTGTCAAACACTTGTTATTGTTGTTTCTGGTGAGGAATGAATGAAACGTTTATTGTTTTTTTAATTTTTGATAAGCTATCAAACAGTGTGATATTGGAACCTAGGAAATGGTTTTGTTATGAGTTGTATTTTTATGATAATATTATTATTTTTCATTTAGCATATTTACCTACATATATCAGATAGATTAGTAAAATTTCTAAGGAATATGCAAGATTTGGTATAAAAATTTATACAGTATGTTTCAAGTTTAAGTGTCTCAGATATTTTTATTATAATATTGATAAAAGTCTCTACTTCTTAGGAAGCTGATGATAACAATTTTAAAAATTGATTTTTTTTTGGAAAAATAATGATTTAATTATTTTTTATAACATATTGATATTTTTAAAGTTTACGTATTGATGTGCACGATATTATTATATTACCCTCGTTTGACTACCATAATTTATGTTTCCATGCCCATATGATATGGGGTTTCTATGTATTTTTGGGAAATATAGATTGCTTATGAAAAATGTTAATAATGATAGAATTTAATAAAATCAATATTAACATTTGACTCTAAAATAAAAATAAATAACAGAATTAAACAGCAGCAAACCTATCTGGAAATATTGATATCTATTTATTATACTGGATGAATTTTTTATGTGTAGAATATTTTTAGAAATAATTATAATAAATAACAATAATAACTTTATTCAATATCCTCAATAAATTATTACACTAGAAATGCCAATAAAAACGTTAAAATGGCATTAAATGAAGGGAAACGGTTATTATGAAATATGAAATAATTGCAGATAACCTCTGTTTACAGATACTGCATGACCATAAATATCATTTTTGTAGGGGAGCTAGATGCATGTTTATGTACAAAAATTGCCATAATTTTTGTTTATATCAATTTGGTTTAAATTAAATAAGAAGGTAAACCTTATCTTATACAGGGCGAGTCTTAAATAAGTGCAAATATTTTTAGGGGTATAGTGTATTTCGACCTCAGACGAAACACGTATATGAGATTATTTTCGCGAATTTTTTTTAAGTTTAAGTTAAAAAACATTGTATATTCATAATGTAATAATAGTTCCTGTATATAGCGTTTAACGCCTTGGGGTAGCAAGAAACATTTTGCCATGCTAGAGCCGTTATGTATACAAGGAAGGTAATGTGGCAATTTTTTTACTTAAATGAGTACTTGGATTGTCAATCCCAAGTACTCATTTAAGGCTGAGTCGACCTAGGTACCCAAACTATTTTTATTTTAATAGTAAGTAAAGTAATTCGGTTATTTTGGACTTATTTGAAAGACGGTAAAGAGAAAATATGTTTCTTTTATCGAGATCTACCAATTCTGAAAATATTTGCAGTTATTTCTAACTCACCTTGTATATGCAATATATTTCGTATTACCTTTTATTATATTTTGGAATATAGGTCCAAATAAGTTATTTATTTTATACAAACCTGACCTTATCCAATGTACCACCAGTATTATTATACAGTGTGGTGAAAGAAAAACGGCTTCAGAGTTGGCTTGGAAATGAAGACTGCTGTCATTTTGTAAAATTATATAGGAAGCGTCATCGATTATTTCTTCCAAGCCAATTTGACGCTGTTTCTTTCGATTATATGGTACATTACAATCGAAAAAACCGACCCATAGTTTTGCTTTTGGTGTGACAATCGGTGATAATTTCTGTCAGACAAGCTGTGTAGTTCAAAATTCGATTTTTTTTGAAAGTAGATTTGTGTACCTGGAAACATTCTATCCTTTTTTAATATATCTATGTGTTAACTTTTGACAATGTCAATTTTTAGTAAAAGACGTCTAGAGATTGACCTCTCTAAAATTATCGATTGTCATTCCCAGCCCGCCGTGACGCCGTTTTTTTTATCGTATGAACATTAGTTTTTCTTGATAGAAACATACTACATAAAATTTTATAAATTTTACCTATGAGAAACATACATTAGGTATCAACTATTTTCGAGGTAGTGCTTATCTACATATATTTTAAATATTTTATAATTTTTTAGTATAGGTAGGGTCATAAATAGTTAAGCGACTTTCGATAGCAACTAGTTTTAATTTATGATATTGTTTATGGAGTCACTATTATTATTGTTACATATAAGTATGTTACTTGTTTTAATACCGGGTGCGTCTCAAAAGTGGCTCACCTCTACAGGGTCCGGCAATAGTGAGTCGGGCATCTGTAGCTCCTAGAATAAAAAACTTGGGAATTTTGTTTAACTGCATACCTACAGTATGTACTAGAATATATTTCTGAAAAATATTTTAACTTCTATAGGGTGGCTCAAAAAAGGGTGAGTGGATCTGGATGATTTTTTTTAAATAGAACACCCCGTATATTATTGCATTTTTCGCTGCCTTTCAGATCACTTTACATAACCCTAAGACATGAACAAATATATTTCGATAATTTCAGAGATGGTCTGTAGTCTTCTTTAAGCGGGCCACTCACGATACTGCGGCGCCGTGCAACAAAATCGTACAACAAAATTGAACAATTTTGCAGCAAATTGACAACGCTCACTCACGATCAAACATTTAGTTTATAAGTGTTATTCAAGCAAAAATGTCGGAAAGCGAAGAATATATTTTGTTAGCAACAGCTGCAGTATGTGCAGTGCAAATAATTGAAAAACGCAAGAAACGATATTGCAATCGAAGGTGGTGGTGTAAGGAATGGTTACTAAAAAGATCCACATATTCATATATTAATTTACTCGAAGAATTACGGCTGTACCCAGACGATTGGCGTAATTATCTACGAATGGACGAAGACTCATATATGAGTTACTTAATTTAGTTGTACCCTTCATTAAATCACCACAATACACCAAAACACTTTTACTTTTACACTGGACGCGCGTTTCGCTAACCATGTTAGCATCATCAGCAGATGATTATAAACTAAAGTACAATCTACAAGTTGAGCGTTTATATACTCGCCCAGTGGGCACCAGTGGGCGTGGCAAAAACTAGCCAACCGAGTCAGAGCCAACTGAGCGTAACAGTTAGATTTCCGCCACTAAGAGTAGTAGGAACAAGAACTTGAAGGGAATTGGACCGTTGTCTCTGTTCATACTATCTTTACATTTATTAATTCTGATGCTTTCATATGCATCTAATTGCCTGTAATTTGAGACTTGTTTAATTAATTTTAAATTATTAAGATCTATACAATGTTCTTTATGAACAATATGTTCGGCAACGCAAGATTTATCCGGTTTACCATATCTTATCTGAGCTAAATGTTCTTTAAATCTAGTTAATATTGATTTTCTAGTTTGCCCAACATATTTCTGATTACAATCTTTACAAGAAATTTCATAAATACCCGACCTTTCCAGTGGAGGTGTTTTATCCTTTGGATTACCTAATAATTGTTGTAATTTATTATTAGCACTATACACAAGTTTATAATTTACATTCTTCAAAATTCCTTTTAGACCACGGGATAACTCTCTATCAAACGGCATCGAAAAATATTTAGACGTGTCTTTCTCCACTTGAAAAGTCGAATTTTCAGAAATCATTAACCTATACCTACGTTTTCTAATTAATTTATCAACTAGTGAAGGAGAATATCCATTACACTCAGCTACATTCCTAATGTAATCTCTTTCTATTTCATATCTTTCTTTGGAAAGTGGGAAACTAAGTTATCTATGAACTAGGAAATTTAAACTAGCCATTTTATGTTCAACACTATGATGTGATTCATTAGGAATATATCTGCGTGTGGTCGTATTTTTCCTATAGATATTAAATTCCAGGCAATTATTAATATTTCTAATAACTCATACATCTAGAAATGGTAATCTGTCGTTGTTCTCAATTTCATGCGTAAATTTAATGGAAGGAAACGATTATTTAACTTAGAAATAAAATTATCTATGGTGTCTGAATGTGTGCTAATAAAAAACAGCAAAAATATCATCCATACCTAAACCAAACTCTTGGAAAATACTCAAACTGATTCTTAGCGTCCACTTCAAACCTGCTCATGAATAAATTAGCCAAAAATGGAGACAATGGATTACCCATTGCTGTACCTGTCCGCTGTTCAAAAAAGTTGTTATTAAATTGAAAACAATTTTGTTTCATACATAACGATGTAAGCTCAATATATTCAGTCACAGTTTTGTTGTCGAGACCATTTGCGTTCAGTAATTCCTTCAAGTAGCCTAAAGTATGTGGAATTGGAACACTTGGGAACAACGAAGATACATCAAAGGAGACCAAAATTTCACCTTCATGCAATGTTATATCTTTAATTTTGTTAATGAATTCAATATTATTTTTAACTGCTAAAGAAGGTTCATGATCAGGTAAATTTTCGAACTCCCTTGATAACCATTTTGCCAAATTATAAGTCGGAGAACCTACAGCCGATACAATTGGACGCATAGACTTGTCCGGCCTATGAATTTTTGGGAAATTGAACAGCGGGAAGGTACAGCAATGGGTAATCCATTGTCTCCATTTTTGGCTAATTTATTCATGAGCAGGTTTGAAGTGGAGGCTAAGAATCAGTTTGAGTATTTTCCAAGAGTTTGGTTTAGGTATGTGGATGATATTTTTGCTGTTTTTGACACACATTCAGACACCATAGATAATTTTATTTCTAAGTTAAATAATCGTTTTCCTTCCATTAAATTTACGCATGAAATTGAGAACAACGACAGATTACCATTTCTAGATGTATTAGTTATTAGAAATGCTAATAATTGCCTGGAATTTGATATCTATAGGAAAAATACGACCACACGCAGATATATTCCTAATGAATCACATCATAGTGTTGAACATAAAATGGCTAGTTTAAATTTCTTAGTTCATAGATTACTTAGTTTCCCACTTTCCAACGAAAGATATGAAATAGA